TTGAACCGTTGCATGCAATGCCATATATATAAATGCTGTGAGCATTCAGAGAAGGAAGAGAGATCAGAAAGACAAAGAATGAGAGGCTGAAATGCAGTACCTGATGATACCAAACCAATTGGTGACCACAAGCTGCCTAAAGGCAGTGAAAGAGAAGAAAGGGACTGTGTGATTGATTACGTGAAAGATTCGAACGTCAAATAGCTGAGCTGGAGACTAAAGTATACGCGCCCTTGCAGCGAGTAGCTTTCTATTTGCAGGTTTCAATAGATAAGTCGGTCCACCTCGCAGCTTGAACGCCTTTGTTTGTTGAATTGCTGTCCCCTTCAGATTTCCTTTCTTTCTTTAAAACAAAAATAAATTTCTTTTAAAATTATAACTTTCCGGTTTCCCTTCACTATAAATAAATCTATAATAATCCGGTTAAAAAAATGAATGAGTTATTATAAGTTTTTTATTATATCAACAAGTTTTTTAGCGTGTTGTTTGTAAATTAGAAAATAAAAATAATTAATCATAAGACTTATTATTAAGTATAAATAGGCGTTCCGTTATATTCGCATGAAAAATAAAAAAAATTATTAATATGTGAATAGTATGGTTAATTATGTACTTTTTTCATAATGACAAGAGTAAAATAGGGTTAAGTTTCCATTTTTGTATAGGATTTATTTCCTTAAATTAGTTATGTTATTATAATCTTTCAAATGAGTATATTTTTCTCTATCTTCTTTCTCTCTTCTTTATTTCACCCTTTTTATACTCTTTCTTTCCCCTCCCCTCCTTGTTTCACATTATATATCATATATTATAATAAAATCAGTATTTGATTGAACAAATTAATAATTATATGATAACTGATTGAAACGTAAGCTAACAAGCTTGCTAAATAATAATTATCATATCAAGGTAGAGCATGCCTAACGTGAAGCTAAGAGCACGTTTAACATGAAACTAATGAAACTAACTGCCTTGCCAGATTAGCATGTCCTGGTAGAACATGCCTAACATATGTGAAGCTAAGAGCATATCCAATATGAAGCTAATAATGAAGCCAATTGCCTTGCTAGATCAACATGACATGGCAGAGCATGCCTCACATGAAGCTAATGAAACTAACTACCTTGCTAGATCAGCATATCCTCGTAAAACATGCCTAACATATGTGAAGCTAATAATGAAGCCAACTGCCTTGCTAGATCAGCATGACAAGGCAAAGCATGCCTAACATGAAGCTGATGAAACTAACTGCCTTGCTAGATCAGCATGTCCTGCTACATAAAACATGCCTAATGAACGTGAAGCTAATAATAAAGCTCACTGCCTTACTAGATTAGCATGTCATGGCAAAGTATGCCTAATATGAAGCTAATGAAACCAATCGCCTTGTTAGATCAACATGTCATGGAGCATGCTTAACATGAAACAAAGAGAGCATGTCCAATGTGAAGCTAATAAAACTAATTGCCTTACCAAATCAGCATGTTATGGTAAAGGATATCTCATGTGAAGCTGATAAAACTAATTAACTGCATATTGCTAGATCAGCATGCTATGACAGAACATGTCTAATATGGAGCTAATAAAGCCAATTGGCTTACTAAATTGATCAATATGCCATGCCAGAGCATGTCTTACACGAAGCTAATAAAATTAATTGGCTTGTTAGATCAACATAAGATGGATACTCATGCATTTGTTTCTACTAATCGTCCTAAAAAATTTTAGGAGCGAATTGGATGGGATTAGTATATTCCTCATTAGTTATACATGTCCCTCTTTTCATTCCCAAATTTAAAACAAAAGTAATGAAATAAAAAAAAACCTATACATATTCACAAATTAGAGGAGGGTCCATCTCCAAATTTTTCCAATCTAACCCTATCATTAATTTTGATCATGCCTCTATTCTTTTGAAAAATACATACTTTAATTTGGACAAAAATGGCTTTCTAGGCTCTTCCTTTTTTAATTAAAAAAAATTAAGTGAGTTGGGTCTTGAGGACTTACTAAAATCAAGGCATGACTTAAGGCTTAAAAAAATATTTACATATCACTCACCAATAAAATCATCATATTTGACAGTAAAATTTAATCTCACAACCTTTTGAGTTATGGGTCAAATAATCCTTACCAATTAGATTAATCTTTGTTGGTTAGGCTTTTGTTTTATATCTATGAAAATCCTACTATTTCTCTCCATCTATGTTTACATGAATTGTTTTTTTTTTGCCCGAATTGTTTACTTATTTATGAAATGTGCATATTGTTATAAATAATTTTATATTTTTTTTTAGGCATGATAGATACTATAGTTTATATATTGAATGATTATTGATATTAATTATATAGATTTATTTATAACAAATGGATACAATTTTTTTTCCTGGTTGTATCAAATAGGATTTCAATCCTATCCTCCTTACCATATGAGCCAGCTTGTGTGGCATGGCATGATAAGGGAAAGTGTATATTCATTTACAAATATATATATATATATATATATTGGTATCTATATATCTATATTCTTTGTATTGTTGGCAAAAAAAGTAAAGAAAATAATAATAATAATAATAATAATAATAATTAACATAATAACAATGACCATGACCACAGACATGTATATATTCCAAAATTCAAATAATAAAATCCAAAGTTTGAACATTCAAGCAATTTATGATTGAATATTAAATATAAGCACATCTTTTAAATTTTAATTTATCATACTAATTCAAGTTTTATAGGGCCATATTGGTGATAACTTTTTTGAAGATATTTTTTGTATTAACACAAATTTAAACTCGACCTCCTGTTTAAATAGGCAAGACACATTCCTTTAAGACCAACACGTGTTGGTGCTCTTAGATCAATGGTTTAAATACTTTGGGCCAATACTCAAGCCCAATTAATTTAATCCATTGTAACAATTGCATCTATACTTGTGAGTTGTGATCAAACTTGTTAAGTTCATGGTTTACTCTTTTATGACTGACGTTTTAATTCTAATTATATTTTGAATAACCTCTAAAGGCGCACGTATAATGTTATATTTGGATCTGAAATAGACGGCAAGTGTTGAGTTAATAAACACTACAAAATACGACTGAAAATAGAACGATGCTACACTTTTTATTGATCTATTTATTGTTATAGATTATACAATACTGTCTAATCTCTGTGTTATTTTTTTCATATCCAATATATACTGTCTAATTTCTTAATTTGAAACAAATCACTGTTTATATAGATCAAATAAAGATCAATAAATATGTTTGAGATTTATTTTTTTCTCTCTTCAAAATGGCTTATTGATTGTTTGACATGACAACTGTATATTTAATAATGTTAACTTAACAAAAGTAAAAAAGAAATTTTTTAATAAATGCTAGAGATAGTTTTTTTGTTTTTTTCCCAAACAAGGGATAGCAAGCATTCGCTGCTTATATTTATACCCCAAAAAAAATCTCATTTGCATAATATGAAAATTTGGATTAATCCTTTCAATTAAACCGATAAACTGTTAAATCATTGTCTTCATAAGTTTAAAAAATATATTATTTATAACTAATTTAATTATAATTTGACTACATTTTTAACTATTGTCCTTTAAACAATGTCTTCATTGATTTAATTTTCAGTAGCTTACTTATTTATTTCTTATAAAAAGAATTGGAGTAAGTGTTTGCTTTTGACTATTAATTTATATATTCGAATTAAATTGGTCCTAAGCAAGTGCAATCCTAAGTCTAGGAACATAATCAAGTAATTGAGCCATTTAAATACAATTTTTTGGGATTTAAATGGTTGCAACCAAAAGATTGACGAAATTGATCTGTGTAACCTTATCACCTGTTTCTTGTAAAATCGTTAACAATGGCATAGCAAATATAACATCTTAATTACAAAAAATATATAAAAAGTTTTAATTGAAAATTTGTTCAAAGCACCCAAGCTAAAATGTGCAATTCAAGAGCCTATCAGTGAAAAAGCATGGCTTTCATAGTTTATGTTTGGATGAATATTTTTGAAAAAATCAGTTTAGTGGAACAACTTTCTTATATTTAATATTTTAATCTAACTAAAATCTTTTTTTTTTAAATCTTAAACAAACTAACCCTAAACAAGGGAAATATATTTGAAATTGTAATAGGCCAAACACATACCTAAACTTGTTGAGAAATCTTGTGAGCACAAATTGAACCTTAGTGAAGAGGACTGACTTCAATTCCTTGCCCTTTTACATCAATCAATATTTCAATATCTCATGAAGTGGCCAGAGATACTGTGGGACTGGGCAGTGACAATAGCGTGGGGAACACAAAAAAAAAAAAAAAAAAAAAGATCATGACAATGCCACGTAATTTTAGAAATATGTGATGATATTTATCCATATTAGTATTATTATTGAAAATATGATGAAAACCTATAGTACATATGATTTTTCATTTTTAGAAAAATATAAATTTTTCATAGTACGAATTTAAAGTTTATATAAATTAAGTAAATATATTTAAAATTTATATTTATAATATTACAATAAACTGTTTATGACTGATTTTTTATGAATATAAACTAGATATTTTCTCCGACAATACATGGAGATAATAATTTGATATTTTTTTCCAAAATTCAAACCCACTTTTTTTACTCCATTTAAATCTAATCAAAACAAGCAAAGAAAAAGTCAGCTAAAGCTAGTTCATTTAATAAGAGCAGTATAGGGATAACAATTAAAGATTCAAATTCTTCTTAGATATAAAAAAACTTAAAAAAATATTACTCATAACTCTAGAATGTTATTGTATAAGTTTTTTATATTTTGTATTGATTACATTGTTTGAAATATTAGAAAACAAAAATACTCTTTTAAGAAAAAGAAAAAGAAAAAGAAAAAACAGGAGGTGGCTAAGCTCATGAGCAGCCTCCAGTCACGCGCCTAAATTGGGCGTGAAGCTACAATCCCTTGCTTAACTCTTCAACGAGAAATTTGTCTAATTCCTTACCTTCCACTCTCCCTGGTCCCTTGTACGGACCCGACTTTCTTTCTCTCTCTCCTTCCTCCATTTTCGCTGATCCAATCTCACGGCCTCTTTCTCTATCCTTCCCTGCATTTTGTCGGCATGGATTTAGCATTTGAAAGACAAATATCTCTAGTGCGTGCCCTCTTAGTCGTCTTTGTAGCTTCCCTACTCTTTTTCACCGCCAATGCTTCCATCCACATCTACGATAAGGAGCCCTTCAAAGAAGTGGGCAATGCTTACCTTCTCTCCGGTGGCAGTGAAGGTATCGTTGCTTCCCTCAATGCCGCTCCTCCGTCGGACCCGTTGTCCATCAATGACGGCCATTCTTACATCCGGTAATCTCTAAATCTTAGTTCATTCCTACTCTTAGTCTCTGCTTGTGATTTCGATTTGTCAAAATATGCCCTCATTTCTCCACAAAAGCTTAAGTTGCTATGCGTCAATTGTGGCAGCCAAGGATTAACTGAATACTTTGTCATAAAGGTTCTGATAGTATGTTATAGACGGTTTTAACTGAATCTTAAGCTGTGAACTGAAGGGGTTATGCGTAGTTTCATTATAATCTCTCACAGGGTTGGATCGAAAACAGGGTGTTATGCGATTTTTCCCCAAAGCTTACTTTCGTGATTTAAGTGGATTCATTGTATCTGGCATTGATACATGGCTGAAGCTGTTAGGCTTGCACCAATATTCAAAATTTTCGCTCTTTGCTTAATTTTGAAGGCTACAAGGCTACACTTTCAAAATGAACTAAATGAAACCGATTCCTGATCATGAGCATAACGAGTCACGAAAAAGTAAGGACAGAAAGAAACTACTCACATGGATCAATGGAGGGAGTTTTTAAACTTATTTTCGAAAGACACTTTTTCTCTTCATTGCTCTGGAAGTTACTATGCGCATGATTGGGGGTAGCGCTCAATAGAGGATTAAGACTAAATCCTCATACTTCCTCTTATTTCATCCTGTCCTAATAATTTAGTCTGCTATAATTTCCCAATATTGGGGATGCTGCCATGCTAATTAGGGCAACTTTTTGGTGAGTTCCTCTCAGCTTTGCTCAAATTATTTCTGGAATCATTACAAAGAACTCAGAACACATGGATGTTCAAAAAAGTAAGGACAGATATTAATGCATGAATAACACTGATGTACATGTATTCTTGGAAAATTTGCCAACGGGATAATTTTTATTTTTTACCTCTTTGAATTTGGTATCAAACGTGAGGGAAAACACTAACTTTTTTCTGTTGGATATTAGATTTGAGGATATCACCTTTAGGAGAAGCAAAACTGCTGCCAAACGCATGAAGCATATTACTGGGCTTGTACAGATTATAATTTTTGAGGCTGCTGATCGTAATGATATTGGCGGTTCTGCATATGGTGGACAACGGGCAATATGTTGCACCCCTGATTTAGCTAAGATGGAAGGCTGTAAGCAAGGGGAGGTTATCAGGAGACCTTCTGCAACAGACATTAATTGGCCTGTCATTTTAAATGTATACTTTATTGGAAAATCCTTAACTACAAGTATAAATTATACTGTAGTTCCCATCACGAAGACTGGAATGTATAATTTGTTTTTTGTAGCATGCAACCCAAAGCTCAAGGACATGGTAATGAGTGGGAAGACAATCTGGAAAAACCCTGATGGGTTCTTACCTGGTAGGATGGCCCCTTTAAAGAAGTTCTATGTGTTTATGACAATTGCTTATGTATGCCTTAGCCTTGTTTGGTTTCTTCAGTACACAAGGTTTTGGGATGACATACTGCAGCTTCAGCACTGTATCTCAGCTGTTATCGCTCTTGGTCTGCTTGAGACGGTTTTTTGGTATTTTGAATATGTCAATTTCAATAATTCTGGAACGAGACCTGTTGTACTCACGACATGGGTTGTCACAATTGGAGCTATAAGAAAAACAATATCACGGCTTCTTATTCTCATTGTTTCAATGGGTTATGGTGTTGTGCGACCCACTCTTGGTGGTCTTACCTCAAAGGTTATGTTACTTGGAATAACTTACTTCCTAGCATCTGAGTTACTGAATATTGCTGAATATGTGGGAACCATCAATGATGTATCAGGAAGAGCAAGGCTTCTTCTAGTCCTCCCTGACGCTTTCCTGGATGCTTTTTTGATATTGTGGATTTTTACATCTCTTTCAAGAACTTTGGAACAGTTACAGGTTTCCTTCCCTCCTATTCCTATTATTTAGCAGTGTTCTACCTCTAAGATTTGACTTTCTTACTTCTTTTTTGGCTATCATTTTTTAGGCAAAAAGGAGTTCTGTTAAGTTGGATTTATATAGAAAGTTCTCTAATGCATTGGCAGTAACAGTGATCTCCTCAGTTGTTTGGATAGGATATGAGGTAAGAGTTATTATCAGCATATGTTAATCTTACAAAAGAAAATTGACACCAGGTAATCAATAATTGATTTTCATGTTTTTTGTTTACACTTTGAATTATTGCAAAAGAAGAAACGAAAGCAGTCTAATCCTTACTCTGATATGAATTTACCATTACTTTTCATATTTTATTTTCCTTCCATAACCTTCAAATTCCTGTGGATGAAGTAAAATTTTTCTAAAAATTGTGATAAACTACGATCTCTTGTTTTATCCTCCTGTTTGCTTGATTACAATAGCCTCTAAATAATTGTACAGTTAATTGGCCCTATGTGTTGGATGAGTATGCAGTTGCTATACATCTGATGGGAGCATTGTCATTTGTCTGGCAAGGCTCCAGATAGCAACTTTAACTGTCTCGGGATTCACATGGGGTATAGTTGTGGTTAGATAGTTAGATGCCCTTGTCAATGTTATCAAATGCATAAGGTGAAAGCAGTCTTTTTCTGGGATATACTAGCCAGTTTCTGGAAGCAACATTGCACCTTAACTGATTTGCATTGAACTAGGTTGGATCATGACCAACCAGTTTTTGAAAGCCATTTTGGGCCCCAACTAATTTGGATTGAACTAAGTTGGATCATGTGAGTGTAAAGCAGTCCTTGGAGCAGTTTTCTTTATTCCCAAGCCTCCAACTCAAAGGCTTTGTTTAGGAGAATCAAATGCCGATCTACTTGAGCTGATTGCTGTCTGTAGGTGAAAATAGTCTTTTAGCATCATAAAAAACACTCTTCATTTTTTCAACCAATAAATACTTTTCCTTTATCAAAATGGAAATAGTCTTTGAACATTTATGAAAAAAGATAGTCGGCTATGGGAATGGGAATAGGGGTTTTGTGGGAGTGGTGATATTTGTTAAGCCCCGTACGAAATGTGATTTGTTCCCAGGAATCCAAAGATTCTGCTAACTTCCTGAAGAACTTATCTCCAGTCCCTATATTGCATTGTATAGTTGCTAGCATTTTGTACTGCCATTGATTATGAAATTTTAGTTGATAAAACTACCTTTGACCATGTATCACATTTTCATTGGACAACACACACACACACACAAAAAAAAGGTTCACTAACTGCATGGAAGCTGAAAAGATCAATATCAAAGGATTACTAATAATTAGCAACCATACTAGTAGGCTCCTCAACCTAGCAGAGGAAACCACAAGAGCACATACATTAGGAGTAAAAGTGATCAAATGGGGCAAGAATTCAACAAAACCAGACTCAACCGGCCAACCTTGAACATGACAGATTTTCTTTTGAGTGAAGGTACAATGGGATCCCCATATATGCTGGGAAACATGAGCAAGGAGTGAAGGGTAAGATATGCCATGAGTGGCCATGTAATTAACATGGATAGCACAGCATGAGAACTATCAGGTCTTTGGAGGATTGAAGGACATGTGTTGGCTATTTGTGGGTTTTTCTAGTAGTTTGTTAGGGAATGCTTAAATGTGAAGGAGTAGCGAACAGAAAGTCTTGGGAAAAATATGGAGTGGATGTGGAGATAGCTGGCGTCTCAAAGGCCTTGTACTGTTTTTTCTTTCCTGCATATTTTCATGCCTTCTGTCTGGTAGCATCCCTGCCATGATGGTGATGTGAAACAGTGAAAGGAGGGGGTGGGGGAACGAGCAAGGAGGGAGATGAAGAAGAATAAGAGAGAACTTGATGGAGACAGTAGCTGAAATACTCAATAACTTCATTCAATAGACTAAAAGAGAATACAAACGAATAGTTGTGGGGCTTATTTGTGCAGCTCTATTCAAAATCCTAGTTAAACTGCCACAATCCTAAGTTATCCTTATTCAAAATATATCTGAAAGATAATCAAGATAAAATATTCTCATTAAAAGAAAACAAAGCATTTTAATTATCTTAGAGTGTGTTTGGATTAGCGTTGGGTAACAGAGTTTGGATAAAATTGATTTGAGTTTGATTTTAGGCAAAATTGATTATTTCTCTATATTACTTCGCTAAGGATGATTGTAATGTCATCTCTATCTCCTGCAATGTGGTATTCTTCTTAGAATTCTTTTGAAAGAAACATTCCAGGAGTGCGTTATGCCTGCTTTCAATTCTCTTTGGCTTCTATTTATTGATGTGTTTTCCATTTTGTTACATGAGGTATCTCTTTATATAGTGATAGCTTCTTATGAAGTATTCTTTTTCGTATGGAGTTTATTTGTGTAAGCACGCAACGTTTGATTTATTATTTGAAGTGCCATTACCGTTTGTTACATTTCACTTCTACAGCTATACTTCAAGGCCACAGATCCTTTCAATGAGCGGTGGCAGAGTGCTTGGATCATAACTGCTTTCTGGGACATTCTAGCATTTTCATTGCTCTTTGTTATTTGCTATCTCTGGGCCCCATCTCAAAGCTCTCAAAGGTTCATTCTTTTTTCAAACTCTAAGTAGTTATTATATTATTTCTTTCCCGCTTTTATCATTGACTATATTCTGTATAGAAATGAATCAATGATTTTTTAAATGGATTCTTGCAAATTGGCTGCATGTTGTCCCCATTTACTTCTCTTCTGCTAAGCATAAAAGAGTGCCTTGTGCTAGGAGAAAACCATGCTTGGGATCCAGAGCATTCTTCTCTAAAAAGATTGTGATTCTATACTTTGAAATTTGATGAACTAGACATATTACTGAGTTAGCCAGACTGTGATGGATCTGTCTGGCTACAAGTTGGACTTTGTACAAGCATCACATCTTGAAAAATGTTAATGATTATTTGTGTGATGCTTAGACTATATTGGATCTATTTGGCTACAAGTTGAACTTGGGCATGCAGTTCTATGGATGGTCTATAAAATTTTCCCTGTTCTTTCGCTTTTGGGGCTGGTGAATTTTAAAAAAGGAGCGTGGGGACCAGTGAGGATTTGAAGCAATAGGACTGTAGCGTTGGGTTTCTTTTTATTTCTTGTTACTTCGCTCATATAGTAATTAAAATTTTGCATTCCTTCCATGATATTAATGTTTGAGTAGTGATCAGTGTGTGCAAGTGTAAAATCAAATGAAAGCTACCCCAGTTTTGGATTATCCCAAGCAAAGGATATTTCTCCTGCTAATTTCTCACTTCTTAACTTGCCTATCTTGAAATAATTAATGAGGCTTCAAATTCACTTGAAAAGATGACATTTGGCTTTTTCTTGTTGAAATGCTGAGGCATATTGTAGTAGCAAGACTGGAAAGCATAAAACGTGGTGTGCCTATTGATGTTGGAATTTCTAATTCAAGTGGCCTAAGGAAGAGTCTTCCATATTCTTTTGAGCTGATATACTCGTGTCCAACCATGCACAGGTATGCATATTCTGAGGAAGTGGGAGATGAATCTGATGACGAAGAAGCTCGATCCCTAACAAAGCACGAAACTGAGCTAAGCTCAGTCAAGCTAGAGAAGAATGTTGGAAATGATGAATCTTTTGATCAAGAAGACGAAGTAGAGGAAGATAAAAGGGAATAGAATCTCCCAACAACTTCACTGTTTTGCCAACTAGGTTAAGTCTCGCATTTGTGCCACACCACAACACACGAGCCAAAAGGTGTAGTAAAATTGTTTTTCCCCTGTCGGATTAGAGAGATGGAACAGCTCTGATATGCTTATTATTATTATTATTATTTAAAGCATTTCATTGTACCATTATGTTTGCAAATAATGCACAGCATGCATTCCAAATGGTGGTGATGAATCTGTAATGTCAGGCCCTCTTCTCACCTCGGACATGGTTGTCGCTGTCCCAGATTGTTGAGATCCGAGTTAAACAAGAAGGAACAGGGTCAATGAAGGTTGACCAAATTAATTAGATCAGGTTACATCTAGCACGTAGGGTCTGGTCTTGTGGTTTGATTATTGTTGTTGTTTTGTTAGTAGCTATCCCACTAATTATGGTGAGCCCTTTTTATTGTGAAAACTAGAATAATTCTTCTAACTTGCTCCTTTTCTTTCCTGACAACAAAACAAGAATTGCTTTTTTATTCTCTTGTTTTCGGCCTGGACCAGTAGCTCACAAATGAAAAAAATAATAATAATAACAGATATCCCAGAATCATCAGGTTATGCATCTGATCTTTTTTTTTTTTTTATTTAAATGTTACATAATGTATTCAATTTCATTTCGAAAGTGTTGAAAAATAGAGGCAGTCATTTTCTATATTATTTTAATCACTCGTTTAATAAAAAATTGTCATTTATTTTCAGGGGCATTATGGTCATTTCATGAAAATATTTAATGTCAGATAAAAATTTAAGAACTTCAAAATAATTGTGGTCTTCTTTGGTTATTTGCCTATTTTGCTTCTCTATCAAATCGTTGTTAGAAAACATTACTCTGCCATCAAATTGGAATAGGAGGTTACTGTGTTGGACAGCCAAGAAATTGATGGAAAGAAAAACCATTTTCTTTTCCTACCATGTCAATAAAGAACAATCAGACAAAATTGCATCGGAGGTTTTATTATTATTATTATTATTATTATTATTATTATGTATCTGACTATTTTTCATAAACTTGACCGAGCATAAAGTAGCGTTGAACCAAAGGTGCCCGGGGAACAATTTAAATTCTAGCTGGAAATTTTTTTTTTTTAACAGATATGAAGCATTGTGCACGGTAACTAAATCCCTAAAGTGCAAAGCCCCTTCTCTGCTGACAGAAATTATACATCACAAATGTTTTAAAATTTGATTGCAAGTTAATTTTATTCTTTAATTTTAAATATTTTTTTTATTATTATTTTAACGTTAAATTAGTTATCAATAAATTTTACTATATTTTAATATATTTTTTTTGTTAAAAATCATTTTTATTCCTTAAACTCTATTCAAATGATCATTTTTACCTTTCAATTTAAACATTTTATAATAAAAAACATTTTAAAAAAATAGAAGGCTCACTAACAATCAATTATTAGTGAAAAAATGATACGGTGGTGAGGAAAGAAATTTTTAAAGTAAAAATAAAAATTAACTCATAATTAAATTTAAAAAAGCATTTGACCTTTCATGTACAATTCATAAATAAAAATAACTCTTAAAAAAAAATAATGCTAGTACCATTTTTTCCCATCCACTATAAAGATAATGTGATTGACTACAGAATAACTGGGATTATATTAGAAGAAAAACAGCTCAATAGTCGATACAAGATCCAAAGATTCAGAAGCAAACAAAATTGAAGCAAAATAAAGCCATATCTAGCTACTCATGACTCAGCTTTGATGACATATTCAAGATTAAAGAACTTGGGGCTGAGGAAGTGATGGACTAATTCTAGAAATTAGGCCTAGGAATACATGTATAGGTTACAAAAATATGCTCACGCCAAAACCCCAGGACACCAGAAGAGAAGACCACACAAGTTACGTTGCCATTTAATCAAACAGCAGATAATCTTCGCCAACTTGAAATTCTAATTGGTTTCAACATCTGAATCATCTGGTCCTTGTATGTACAGTTCAAAATCGTCAGGACTCCATCTGCATATCAGATGGAGCTTAAATGTAGCCATCTGAATCCCCAGTAAACGCTGCCAAGAAAATCAATCACATGTTAGAACGTGCAGAAAACATCCAAAAATATCAAAATTACAATGCGTTATTCTATTAGCAATGAAAATCATACTGTTAGGACCTAAGTTGCAAATGAATTCACACGCATCAGCTTTGGCAATGTTGGGCATGCAGAACCGACAGAAAGGGAAAGAGGAAGGAAATGTGATAGGAAATGACCCTTGCCCACATGGACCCAAAAAAATCCACAAACCAGCAATGAAATCCATCATTGATATGTAAAATCCTCTTTTTTTTTTTTTTAATAAACACGCAGAATAGGTTTCGCCTACAGTAGAGATACCTCCCTCAAGGCACTGAGAACAATAAATAGACCTCTCCCAATTAAATTACTACATATACAAGGGCTGGGGTTTAAAACTCCAACCACTTGTTTAAATGACAAGAATCTCTAACATTCATGCTAACTTCAGTTGATTATACAATCACCATTTACCAGAGATGGCTATGAGGAGGGGAAAAGAAAGTAAAAATGATGGCATCAGAGTTAGATAAAATCCGAGAAACTACATGCTTCCATGATGCACCTATAATGATGATAACCCCGGACAATCAAGTTGTTGAATGTCAGGTAACAAAACAGCAAAACTAACCAATATGCGAGATGCCTCAGGTGACAATGGCTTCCCCTCCTCACAAACAACAAAATCTGAGATAAGTTCCACCACTCCTGCAATTTATAACATTGATCATTGATAAATCCACATTTACATGTGCTTTTGATTCATGTTTGGGGAAAAAAGGAAAAAGGGTAAAAAAAAATTACACTAATAAGTACCTTTATTTAACCGTACAGGCATGCCTTGCTTCCGTAGAAATGGCTCCATCTCATGTGTGAACTGCTCCAAAGGACCTTCTTTGAGTTCCACCTAAAACATTTTAATGATTGAATATCATTTTGTAAACAAATTACACGGACATTTTGCACTATCCTGTAGCCAAGGACATGCACATTCTGCTTTCTATGGAGTATCACCAAACAAATATAGCACTGGTAAGATGTAACCACCATAACCTTGTCACGTGGAGACTCTAATCAAATGATATTCATCAAAATCAAAGTGTGCAACTTGTGGCACGACTTAATGGATGAATAGAGCACACAAACTAGATTTTCTCACTGACCCAGCACAACTGAAACAAATATCTAAAGCCACTTCCCTACACTAGCCAATGCACCTTTAAAATGAAAGCCTATAGCATGAGAAATAACCTTTTCAGTTGCAGTGCTTCCCGTTCTTGCAAAGTCATATTCCTCAAACTCATTAAATAACCTGCAAAACACAATTGGAAATGTTTGGATTAGTTCTGTTTCTACCAAAAGGTGGATCAAACTGGAGTCTTGTGGATCAAAAGTTATCTCTTTGTTAGTTTCATGACATTGAGAAGAGCAAAATTTTACCTTTCGACTTCTTCTTTTGGCAAGTTTGTGAAAAACATTCCAGCATCTCCTCGTAGAAGCTAAAGTAAACATAAACCAAGAAAGATAGCATCAAAATAAACTAAGTGAAAGACCACCAAATGAGAAATTGGCCTATAAATAATGACTACCTTGGAAACCTTATGAAGACCAGGTCTAATCTCATCAGCAGCAGAATGACCAAGGGCAACCTGCATGACTTTGTTTGATCCCAAGAAAAACCTGAAAGTTAAGCGACAAATAGCAATAGAAAAAAATTATTCACCGTTGTATGATAAGCCTAGATATTTCACAAAAACACATACTTCCCTAAGTTGTGGGTGCCTTAAAATTCCACAGAAAGATAGTATGCAATGGAAGTCTAGAACCACTCAAAGAGGTAGAAGAGGCAACTCATAAGACAGTTTCACAGCCAACATTATCATGAGGCTTCTTTTTAGACTATAACTTGAGAACTAAGGAATGGCTTTTCACTCAATTTTCTAAGAAATTAATGAGGTGTCTCAATCAATAAGTAACTAGTCCAACTCTAAGGTTTAAATTAGTTTGCGGCAATGAAAAGTACAATAACCATAAACGTTTTTGGCCTCTTCCAAAGCTTCAAATAAAAAATATGAAGAAATCAAAATTACCTGCTGGTAGATTTCAGCTGCTCCCTGAACTCCTTGAATTTTTTATTTCTCATGTTTTCAAAAGAAAACACATACACTGAACTGTATTTTTCAGCAGCCTCTTTTATCGCATTCATTATTGCTTCTTTATGTTCCCTCCCCTTTTTCTTTGTCTTTGAGAGTGTGACTGCAGTTTTTTAAACCAACAAACAAACAAATTTAGTAAGACACCATCAATCACAACACACACCTGTAAACCACTTGATTTTAAATTCCCATGTCTGCTTTTATAAAACTGGTGGATCGTTATAGTTCTGGTAGGTAACTGCCAAGTTTAGCCCATGACAAGTTAAAGCGAAAACAAAATCGTCTCACCAAGAAGCCACAAAAACGTGGATTGTTGATGCGAGGCTCAGAACCAAATTTACAGTCCAGTTGATAATGTTGAGAACAATTTATATTAAACTTAAGATTTCACGGAAGGAGGCTTCTAAACTACACTCATTGCAGCCAAAAGTAAAATAAGTTTATAAATTTCAAATATCTTTGCTGTTTCAACCTTGTGTTCAGATAAACCTTTTGGTTCACTAAAAGGTGGTTGCTCCTATGAAAGCAGCCGGGAAAAAAAGCATAAATCTCATGCGGGTTGTTGGCCTCGTTTAATCTCTCACATATCTCAGTAAAGAAATGATTCGAATTTTATCAATGAAACCAAAAAAAAAATTAATAGCGTTAACAAGACTCCCAATTCCCGCGTCAACCGAAGGAACAAGAACATTAAGCATAGAAAACCAAAAAGAAGCTCAACAGAAACAAAACCTGCTTTATTGCGTTTAGACTTCGGCATTTTTGGCAGCGGCGACCTTTGGGTTCTCAGCTAGGGCTGATATTCACTGCACTTCAGTCTCAGAGGCTAAGAAGATGGTTTATTTGTATTGTATGGCAGACAGCTTCGTAGGGTTTTGCAGGCGGCTCCCGTCTAGACGATGGCTTGAGGTTAATAAATATAATAAACAATTTATATCCTTAATTTTTTAATTTAATTTTATTTTTATTTTCAATTTTCCAATTTTTTTTAATTATCAGAGTTACATTTTGTTAAATTATTTTTAATTAAAAATAAGAATAATTTACATCATTAATGAAAAATAATTATTGACATGTCAAATTTAGACACAATCAATCAACGTTCATGTTTGGATTAACTTCTAACCTCAATTAGAGTGGGTCAAACTGAGATTAGAATATAAAAAGGTTAAAAAATATTGTTTGGATTATAAAAAATCATCAATCTCAGTTAGAGTTAAATGGGTGTTATTTGAGAAGCCATCAGCGTTGGCTTTTTCCTCCTCAGCATTGTGTTGATCAATGGCCGTTGTAAGCATTGATTACCTTTTAAATTTTTATGCTTTCTCTCTCTTCTCATTTATCTACCCTATGAGCTCTGCTTTTCATCCTTACTATGCATGTTTTCTTTCTCCTGTGACCTCGCAAGCAAAACTTTCTAGATCTATTTCACCTTCATTGCTCATAGGTGGCTAATCTCCACCATGTTGAAGCAAGTAACCTTCGGTCGATCTCCAGCTTTTTGTCATCCCTTCTTACATCCAACGTGTCCCTGCTCGAAAGTGGTTTTTCTCCCTGTTCTCTCGATCTCTACCATGGTCCACTAAATCTGCACTTTTAGTCGCCAAATCTACTCCTCGTCGCTTGTCTTTGCCATGTAAGCTTCTTATTTTCGCCTCCTTCCTTGTCTTCCTTGTCGTCATGCTTTACCAAGCCTTCATTATCTCTTTTTCATTGCCTACTTCTTGTTGACTAAAACAAGGGTCATTTTTTGGTCTGCATTTTTTGGTCTGTTGCATTTCCTGGTCTCTTGCATTATGCATGAGTGAATGGACAACTATGCTCGACTCCTTGAATGAATGGTCTCTTTCCTTTTTCAAATGCTTGGTGATGATCCTTGGTGGAAGTTTCTATCATCCTTGGCAAAAGGAGAAGCTTATCATTTCTATTTTTATTTTTGGCCTGTTTTTTTTTTTTTTTTGCTTGTTCTATGTTTCTGATGATCACTAGTGATTCTTGTTTTTTTTCCTTGATTGAAAGCTTGGTGTATATCTCATGACTGAATGCTTGGTATTGCTTCATTTTCATGTATGCTTGATGATTCTTCTTATTTTCATATGAATTATTGTGGAGGAAAAAAATCTAGTAAACTGATACTTATATGCAAATATATTTATTGATTTTATAAGTTTGTGATGGCTAGCTAGTCTATAGAACAATGAAAAGCTATGTGAAATTCAACCTCGATATTCAAGGATGTCCTGGAAATTGGGGAGATATTGTTTGTACCATTTGCTACCCAGACCCAAATAGAGGATGATGATGATGAAGATGTATACCATCCCACCATTGATCTTCAAGAAGAATTTGGTAATAGTAAAAAGGAGCTGAATTTATCTAACATTGCAACACCTATGGGGCTCACTGATGAACTATTGGGATTGAATGTAACCACAAATACTAGTGGAATTAGTGGTGATGGAAGTCAAGGCAAAAGAGGGTTGGAAGAGTTGGTGGGAGGAAAAGCAAAAAATCTTACCTCAATAAAAATAGCAAATGTTATGAGTGAAATAGATAAGGAAAATAAAGCTAGAATAAAGATAGTGAACAAGATTTTGATAAATGACATAAGCGTTTTTAAGGCTGTGGCTCACCTAAATGAACTTTCAGAAGTTTTTGGTGATAAAGATTTGCATCGAAGATGTGTCAATCTTGTTCTGTATAAGCCTATATGGGATGCTCATTGGCAACTTAAAACTCATTCTGATCACTTGGTCAATTGGTTGAAGCATCAAGTCCACAATCCACCAATTTTATTTCAAAAAATACATTTGGATGAATATTTATATAGGTTTATGATGACTTGACTTGTATTTGACTTGTAGTTGCTTTATTTTGACTTGTAGTTTGCTATGTTTATAATGACTTGGTTTATAATGAATATTTAACTCTTATCTAATACTTATCTTATGCTTTATTTTTCCTATTGTTGAGTGATAGTTATATACTATTTATTTTATATTACATATGAATGATACTTACATACTATTTATTTTATATTTATATAAATAATATTTACATACTATTTTACCTCAAGTTGAAAAATCATAGAAGATTTGAATGAATATATATTAGGTTGGAATGAAGGTTGGGATGAAGATGTGGTGCATCAACTACTTCCCTCATTACAACAAGATATAACTGAGCAAGAAGAAATATGCCAATTAGTTAGTGAATATGTGATGCCATATGTGCGTAAAGAGCCACGAAAAACTAGCAGGCAAACAGGGCACATGTGAGTCAATGAGATTTTGCAAGGTCATCATGCTCATTGTTATGAAACGTTTCGAATGAAAAAACAATTGTTTAGGCAACTGTGCGCGACACTAATTGATTTTGGTCTAAAAAAAATGAGAGTTGAAGAAATGGTTGGAATGTTTTTAAACACTGTTGGACATGGAGTTACTAATAGAATGATACTGGAACAATTTCAACTAGGGGTGTTTAGCTTGGATCCGTCCTGATTGACCTGGCATTGTCTCGACCCAAAAATAATCGAGACGAGACTTTATGGGATGAAATAGGAAAGGGCTTCGGGACGGGACGGGACACGAGATTACCATTGGGACTTCCCATCTCGTCCCGAATATTATATATATATCTATATTATTTTTTATTTTACATATATTAATTATATTAATATAATTTATACTTATATTAATTATAATTTCAATACTTACAAATTTTTATTTAAAACTAAAGTTTTTTATATTGATAATTTCAATGACATGGAGTAAACATAGTGATATCTTTTTTTATAATATATTAATTATATTAATATAATTTATTATATATATATATTTATTTAATAACTTTTATTTATAAAGTATTTCTTGTTTTATTTTCAGAAGAGTAATTAGCTTAGTATATCTCCACTAAAGTAGAAGAATAATTATTTGATATTGTACTTGACTTGCTGTTGTTGCCACTCTTATAGCCTAAACATCACTTGTATTTGCTATTACAATGTATAGTTGTGATTAATATAATTCAATAATTGACTTTAAATTGTTGTGATTTATGTACTTATGTTGTTTTGATTTTAAACTTAACAAATTGTATGATTTAAAATTTGAATGAATGTTATTATCTAGATCTTTCTCCAATATTATCTGATTTATCAGGATGGCGGCACGTCCCGATTTTATCCCAATTCCATCTTAACTCCTAATAGGATGGGATGACTTTTAAGACGGAACGGGATATGAGATCAAAACTCAATCTCGATCCTTTTTTCAAGATGGGACACGGGATAAAGGTGTCTCGGTTCCATCCCATCAACACCCCTAATTTCAACAAGGAAAAACTGTCTACAAAAATTTTCACAAAGTATTAACTGCGTGCCTTAACCTAGCCAAAGCAAATATAAAGCTGCTTTATCCTTTGTTTCAATGATGCCATTTGAAAATTCAAAATGATCCACAATATTGGCCATTCTTTAATGAGCTATAGAAGCAATTGATGGCACTCATGTGCCATGCGTGGTTAGTATTATTGATCAAATCAAATTTATTGAAAGAAAAGGATATACAATACAGAATGTCATGGCTGTATGTGATTGAAATATGTGTTTTACTTTTGTGATTGTGAGATAGGAAGGTAAGGCTCATGATGCCCAAGTATTTGATAATGCTATATCAACTCTTTCAATAAATTTTTCACATCCACCTCCAAGTATATTTTATTAAAATTACTATAATTATTATTGAATTAATTTAATATTAGTCAAATTTACAATACTTTTTTTTATTTAATAGGTAAATATTATTTGGTTGATTCTGGTTATATTGTGGTATGAAATGTTTCAATAAAGTAAGGCTTTTAAAAAATGCTTTATATTGTGGTCTAAAAGAAATATATATAATTGAAAATATCAAATATGTGAAAATTTTTAAGAAATTAAAATTTTAACCAATTTTTTTAAAAATATAAATTAATTAACAATAACCTATATTATTATCTAAAGAAAGTATATATTAAAAATAAAAAATTACATTAAATCCAAAATTTATTATCTTAGTACTGATTTTATTTTAAAAAATAATACCCTATTACATATTTTAATAAAAAATGATTTTAAAAAAATAAATATTATTAATTTTTTTAAAAAATAGAATTTGTTTAATGTTGTTACTGACACGGTCTCTGCAGGCAACATCATTTATTTTGCTTTTTTTTTTTTCAAAAATTTGATTATAAAAGGAATATTTTTCTGTTCATCTATAATATATTTTCACCTCTAATTACAAAGAATTAAGATAAGATAAAAAGACTAAGATAAGGTAATTTTAAAAACACTAAATTGGAATAAATATAATTTTTAATTCCCATCAAGTGCATCACCTAATCCTATGCCAAACCAAATAAGAACCAAGCAGGCTTAGGCCAACGCTCAATACCATATTTGTTCACCTCTAAAACCAACTTTAATTATATTAAATTTCTGAGTTAATATCATGTGATAAGAATTTCGAATGTTAAAATGCTAACACGTTTGAAACATTGCATTGCATCCCTTGGAACTTCGCAAGGCATTTTCTTTCCCCAACGAATTTCGGTAGACATACAATATCACTATTTTGAGTTGTTTCACACATCACTGGGATTATTGGGATCAACTTGTGAGAAACAAACACCAAATGAGCTCATTCAATGGACATTTTCTACTAGGAGAAAGGAATGTACAACAAAATAAATTACAGAAGGAAAATAATAATAATGACAATCAAACTTTTCCTATTTCTTGAAAGTAATATATGTAAATGTTACTGAATCAATCATTTTCTGTCACTAAGCTCCACTATAAACCTAACAGACACTTCCATCTCCAACCTCCTTCCTTTTGTTGTGCACGGTTTCTTTCCCCACATCCTCTCTTATGTGTGTGCTTCTCTCCTCCTTCGCCTCCTGCTCGAGCGGCCAAATAAGAATCTGCCACGGCCATGGCGACTGAATCGGCTAACCTGCGAACCACCAACACCTTCACTATACCTATTATTGGCATCACCTTGATCAGAGAAATAAGCTCTACCAGCAGGAGTTGCATGGTAACCACTGGCCTGATTGGATCTTCCATGGGATACCAGCTCAGGCCTCAGTTGTCTGCCAACGTTAGGTTCATTCCGTTGCCGAACCGCATGATATAGCAAAAGGAAATTCATTGCCTCCATGCCCATATCAAACCTTCCACTTCTTTCAGCAGCACCAGCATTAGAATCCCCATCTTCATCTTCTGAAGTGAGACTATTATGATTTCCTTCAATGACATAATCTCCAAAAACCATTGCCCCAGGCATGCTTGATGTTACCGTGCTGATAACATCTTCTCGCTCACGCTCCCACTCGAGCAATCGCCATTTCTGTTCATGATCAGGATCTACTGCACGTGGATGTGCTGAGGGATGCTCCATCCGCACATGTTTCTTCAATTCCTTGTAGTTCCCAACAAATGTGCAGTTATCCTGCATGCAGCTTCTCTTCTTTGCATTAAGGTACTCTCGTGCATGTTCCACAACAGTCCAACCTTTTACCTGACCCCTACATAGAGGGCAAGCCAGCTCTGTGATGTCACTCTTGTCAAGAGGCAAATTTGACGACACAACTTTAGTATAAGCTTTCTTGTACTGCTCAAGGCAGTTAGAATGACGAAGACTGGTTCCACACATATAGGGACGACAACCCTTGTCATGGGAGGAGCAGAGTAGAAGTACAGCGTTGTGTGGATATTCCATGCACACAGAACATGTCACATTTTCCCAATCATTGGTATCCATGTCAGTGGAGCACTTCTTTGAGCATAAAGTCTCACAAAAGTTCTTTTTGCACGCAGGCAGAGGGTATGGAGTAGGCCGAAACTGACGGGAAGCAATTGTGTGTCGACCCCTGCTTCCTCCTGCCATTTCCAAATTTACAGAAGTTGCAGAACCTGAAATTTTTAACGAACAGTGATGGGGGACAATAAGTAGATACTTCTGGTTACATATTTCTGATGTAAATTGTGAAAGGATCAATGATTTGATGCATGAATTTTAAGGGTTTGTCAGCTGTATGAAAGTATTCAAAAATTCAAATATGTAAATGCAGCAACACCAGAATATAGGACCGCAATACAAAGCTTAGGGTTAACTATCTCAAATTCATGCTGCCCACAGACAGCAATCATATCAATAGTAACTAACTCAAGCATTTATCCAGTTCTGTTTCGGAATCAGCATCATGAAAACATAATATCTTTCAGTAGTGAATCCAAAATCTTGTGAAGTAGATCCAGAGAAAGGAAGTCCAACCCCATAGAAGCAAAACAAGAAAGAGGAGGGGAAAAAGACCATTTCCCCCCACATTCTACAACCACGTGTACAGTTTCTATGCTAAACCTCAAGCAAAAGATCCATTGTTAGAATTGATGCCTCTTATCCCCAAATGAAGACCCGCCTCACAGATGAAAGTGTGCTATCCAAATATACGCGAGTTTTCAAAGAAGACTGTTCAAGTTAGGACACCTCTCTTTTTGGCCTTTTTTTTTTTTTTGGAGTAATCGTTAAGAAGTGCATCAGCAATAAGTTAGGTGCATACGGACACAGAAACAGGTAAGAAGCAAGACAGTGGAAACAAAAGACAACAGATACAAACCAATGGTATGGAAGAATTTCACACTCTAAATCTACAAGGTAATTTTTCAACTAGGATGAATTTAAGCTTGATTGTAAAGAGTCACGTCGTAAGTGTAACAAAACATCCTGTAGAGATATTACCAAAAAAATTAAGTCCTGAATGATAACTTCTAGTGTTTTAAAGTGTATCTTCTTTCAGGCATACCAAGCTACGCAATAAGGCAAAGTGCACCAATCAAGAACTTTCAAAAAACCATCAAAGCCTTCCAAAATAGCATTAAAATGTGCAGTTTATCCCAAATGATGAAAGAAACAGGCTCAGTTGTTGTGCAGTTCAGAAAAAGGTGATCAATAGTTTTACGTGTTTGTCTTTCTATGCATATATCTGCCTAGCACCTACCAATAGTCGATCCATCTATTCTTCCATTCATCCAATTTGACTTTCCATCTACTAATACGGTAACAACAATAAAGTCAGACGTTATATCCTAATCACAGATGCTAAACGAAACTTAATCTACTAGTGTTAAACAAAATTTCTTAAATGCATTTCCCATTGGTCATGATACAAAATAGTAGATGACTTCTACAGTCATAACATTCATGCTAAAGTTCCATTTTTTTAGCCATATTTAGGCACCCCTCTCAAACACAGCAGTATTCAAATTGACCTTTTTTTTTTTTTTGGCATCAAAAGAAGGGCAAAACGAAAGTAGGCCAGGAAACTCCTCACTCCAAGAAGAAAAATCAGTTGTCTTTGCAAAGAAAAACTTGCCAGTCTATTTGTCGGAGTATTTGATGTCTGAAAGCAGCAAGTTACTTTAAGCGACCATGCTGTATCTGGATTGAATAGAAAGAAAAGAGAAAAATAGAGAATCATATATATTGCCCAAAAGGAAGTAGCGTGCTAATGAGAGAAACTTGCAAGCAAAGACAACCAGCAAGACCAATAAAATATAAACTAGAACATGAAGGCTGAGTATGAAGCACATGTCGCTAACTTCATCCATTTTGAATCCAATCAGAAATTTATAATTAAATGCAAAATCTATGACCGAGCTTATCATGGTAAATCAAATGCCGATTAAATAAAAAATGCCCATCTGCTTGAAAGCCGAGAAAACCGCTAACATTTGATAAATGCACTTCAAGCTAATTTCACAACCGATTTTTCCAGCAACCCCACTTAGATAGATGAATCATTTCCTCAATAAGCCTTTAAATAAGTACATAAAACAAAAAAGATAAAACTTGAGATGAATTGGATATGACAATCAGTTCAGCACCAAAACTCAATAACCAGTAACCAAGCGAAACGCTAAGAGAATCTTTCTGGAGGAAAAAAAAATGAAGAAAGAGACGGTAGATAAAAGGTCGTACCACCAGGCAAGTATGGAAGAAAAGAAACGAAAATTGAAAACGGAGGGAAATCAAGCGAATTTGAAGCGAGGTTTTGGAGATAGAGAGGAGATTTCTAGCACGAATCGAAAGGTAAGGCGATGGAATCGAGGGGCAAGAGTATAATTGGGCGAGAAGAAGGAGAGCGCTAAATCTCAGGTCCTTCTTCAGTTCGCGGAAGTTGGGAGGGAAATGAAATGAAAAGATTTTCGACAATCGCGAGTTCGAGCCATTTCTATACGTCTCTCTCTCTCAATCGAGCGAGTGCCAGATCACGTGCTGATATAGGTAGTGGAAGCTACGCTCTCATCTGCTGATTTCTTATTGGTCGCTGCACGCAATCATAGCACGTCACCGGAAGGAAATGCGGAACTTGAGCGACACGTGGTCTGTCTCTGTCCAGTTTCGCTCACATGATGCCATCCTTACCTTAGAATGGACCATCTTCAATGTATCACTTTTGAATGCTTTAATAATAATTTTTATGTTTTGCGTTGAATTTTCCAAATTTTAATGTTTTAAGTTGAATTTAAAAAAATATTACCCTTATTTTTTATAGTTTTATCAGATTTTATTTATTTTCAGTATTTTCAACTATTATAATTTCTATAATTTAATATTATTAACAATTTAAAAAACAAACATCACCTAATCTTACTTAAATTATATAGATTCAAAATTCTGCAAAAAAAATACAGAGATTAAAATCAAGCTTGATGAAATTATAAAAATTAATGGTTATATTTTGCCATCTAATTTTATGAAAAAATTTAGTTTGATTCCTTAATTTTTTATAAGATATATTTTCAACACTCCTATGCTAACGTGATAGGCTTTATTAATGAAAATTAATATTAAACTTTTTTATGTCGACAAAACAATGAAACCTCTTTTGTAAGTTGATGTGGCTGATCACGAAAAGTTTGAAAAAGTATGTATCATATAGTTGAGGCTTGGTTTGGTGAAGGAAGGGACGTCCTGCGTAAAAGAGAGATTGGAGGGGTATTCTAATGAGAACAAAAATTTTGTTAATTACAAAAAAAAAAAATCGTGAATTCGTAATCTTAAAATTCAATTGGAAAATTGTGATACCCAATAGAGATAGAAATATGAACCAATTTGGACAATATGAGTATCATATAAGTTGGGAAAAATATGAATTAAATTGTGTTTAACTCATTTTTTTATGAATTATCAATATTATAATTCAACTCTTGAGGTTGGTGTATTAAATGGACAAACCTACCAATTCACTTTCTTCTTAATTTATTTTTTCATTAATTTAAAAAATACACCTAAGTCATGATGAGTTCTATTCCTTCATGATTCATATACAAAAATATTAACTTATAATATTTACGCAAAATATTAATTACGCTTTGTCCATCAATTTATCAAAGTGGTTCAAACTTTTTTCTTTTAATTTTTAATTTTTTTAAAAATAATATGAGTTGAACAATCCAATAAGTTAGCTCAAGTCAGAAAAATATTTTTTTTGGGTCAAATATTTTTAACCCAACTCTCATGAGCGATTATTTAAGTTGATTCGTATAACCTAACCCATAATGATTATTTGTGATTTTTAGAAGTCTCTATTTGTGTGTGTGCTGCGTGCGTGCGTGCGTGCATTTTTTGGGTTTAATTATTTGTGACTTTCGCTATTAGAGGCATTAAAAAAAAAAAAAAGAATAGTGATGCAAAGCTGTTTCAGGGCCCAAGCCGCGCGAATTAATCTCGCAAGTGGCCCGTCAAGTGTAAGCGGGAAAACGAAAATCAGGTCGAAAATTAAAACACACTGCGAAGCTCTGTGTTGCCGGAGATGAGGCCTGCCGGTCGCCATCAACCCAAAGAATCGCTTAAGCCACCGTCGACGCCAGTGGACTTCTATCACCGCCAATTTCCCGGCCGAGATTCCGATGCCAGTTTTGCTAGCAGCCGGCCATCTTCCGCAGGCGTTGGCGTCCGCGCCACCACCGTCGACCTCTACAAAGAACGGTCGTTCCAACAATCCGCAGTCTCCACCATCAATTCCTACCTTGCCTCTCTCTCCTTCCCCATTTCCTTCAAATCCACCTGCCCGTCCGCTAAAGACATCACTGAAACCCTCAAATTCCTCATGTCCCGTCTCGATTTTCCCGCGACGAAGATGGAGGATGGCTTGCCGGTTTTGCTCAAGTTCCTCAATTACCCTTTCAAGCTCAACAAATCGTTTCTTAAATCTCCCGCTGCTCCTCACCAGTGGCCTGCCTTGTTGGCTCTCATTCACTGGCTTGTACAGATTGCGAGTTTCAATGATCACCTCTCGTCGTTGCGCGAGGCGTCATCTTATGCTGAAGAAAATGTTTTGAACATGTATGCGCTGAATAGCTATTTGCACTACATTAGGGGGGATGATGATGCTGTGGATGAATTGGACCGTCAATGTAAAGAGAAGTTGGAGAAAGAGAAAGGGTATGCGGTGGAGAAAGTTAAAGCAACGGAGGAAGAGATGGCGAAACTTGCAGTAGAATGTGAAGAGTTGAGGACAAGGCCATCTCAGAAGGAAGTGCTTGAGAAGGAGAAGAGTATGTTGGAAGATGATGTGAACAAGTTCCATAAGATGATTGAGGAATTCACAGTGAGGATAAAGGAGGTGGAGAGGGTTTTGTCAGACAAAGAGAAGCAGCTGGATGCCAAGGTACAAGAGAACAAGAAGATTTGTGAGGAAAATGAAGAGTTAAAGAAGAGGGTTGAGTTGCAGACGTTTAATGCAAGGGATATGGAGAGGATGAGGAAGGAATTGCAGGCTGTTGAGAGGGACATTGCAGAGGCAGAGCTTGCTAGGAATGCTTGGGAGGAGAAGTCGTGGGATCTTGAGACTTCTCTCGGGCACAAGGTTAATGACCTAGAGGCACTAGTATTGGACTGCAACCAGGCCTTAAGGAGGTTAATTCTGTTATTATTAAGTTAGATATTCATTTTCTAAGGTTATTTTTTATTTCAATGCTATCTAAAACAAAAGAACAACGGGGCTTTGTAGCCATAACATCCAATGACAGTTTTACTAAAATGAAACGCTTTTGCTGTTTTTATAGTGTGAATGTTATTTCTAGCATCTTGATGTTAGATATATCTAAAATCAGCTCAAAATGCCCTCACGCACTTGCATTTCTAGGTTGAAGATTGATAATGGTATTCAGTATCAGTTGAATGCCAAGGGATCTACACCTGCTGAGATCATGGGTTTAGATCCCAAGTTGACACTAAAGCGTTCACTAAACTCCTTGGCCGATGACATAAAGAAAAGTTCTATGAAAAAGCTGGAAGAGTCAATCTCCCTTCAACAAAATTGCAGCGAAAATGCTGCTAGGATTGAGAGGAAAAGAAAGTTAGATGACGAGCTGCTGTCCAAAATCAATGAAGTAAGTGGATCATTTTTAAAACTTTAGACAGTGATATTAATATTTAATTTCTTCTTAATGTCTACTCTATTGTACTCCATTCATCCCAATTTATAATAATACACTTTTAGACAAAAACACACACACCAATAAAACTCACTAAATAAACTTTAAAACATTACATTTTCAGAACAAAAATATAAATTTCTACAAATGTCCTTCATTTAATGTTCTATTTGTGGAAGAATACTAAAGAGAGAGAATATAATTAGAAGGGTAATATTGGAAAAGCATCATTAATGAACCTCTTCCAATTTTATCTTCTAATTTGAAATTGAGGTAGTATTATAGAGTGTGCAAGTTTTTTTTTTTTTTTTTATGTGGCCATGTATATAGTATTCTAGTATTGCAAGTTAAGATTCCAACTTATGGAAGTATAGGCATGATTGCTATAACAGATAGACTATTTGAGCTGGATGGATGATACTTAACATAAAACTGTGAAGTCCTTGAGATTAGATTGGTTTGCATGTGATGGCATCCCTAATAGGTATAGTGAGTAAGGTAGAGAGATAAATATTATGTTTGCTGTTCTTTTATTAGAATTTCAGAACATTTAAAAACAATATATATAATATAAAATGCCAGATTTAAATTAGGTTGGTAGTGCTGGCAGGCAGTAAAGGTCATTTTGGAGATTAGTGGAAGGGTAGGGTTGTTGCATTCTGTATATAGGTGGCTTTGTGGTCTAAGTTGGTGGCTTTGTTGTCTAAGTCGTAACTCAAGTAGAGGTCAATACCTGCACGTAGAGATGTAAAGTTGCCTGCCAATTTATACTCATTCTTCTTAGCAAGCATTATAATGGTTGGGAGAAAACGCGAACTTTTCAAAGTGGAATACTGTATAGTATTAGATAACTAATTCAATTGATGCTCAATGCTGATCTTCCCTTTTTTGGCAAAATTTTTGTTGTGCTCTTGTGTTCTTCGTTGGTATTAGAATGGTACTACAAAAAATCTTGCTGTGCAAAGACTGTAGTTTGACCTGCTGCTGCTGTTGCATGATGATGTATCCATCAGATGGAAGCTCAACTGTACAAGTTAAAGAAAGAAACAGAGGAATACATATCTAGATGCGCGGCTGAAGCAAAGAAAATGTTGGAGGATGTTGATCGAGAGGCTCTTGACCTGGACATGGTGGAACGGGAGGCAGCTGAGGTTCTTAAGGTAATGCCTTGTTTGCTGTCTATATTTTTAAAATCAAGTGAAAGGTCAAGAATTCATATCGCCTTCCTAGACCAGGGTCTCTGTCACTGTTGTGTTTTAAACTTTCAGTCAATTTAAAGTGGCAAGCAATGCTCACTATTAATAAAGTCCACAGTGTGAATGGAGAAATATTATTGAAAAGAACCTCCCTCAACCAACAGTGTACTTGTTCTCCTCACCCCTTGGTACAACGGTATATGTAAATAGAAAGTGGTTAGCGATGCCATTTAGATGGAAATAATCTTCATTGATCAACGTACTTTGTTCTCTTCACCCCTCTTGGTATGTTGCTATATAGAGAAGATGGTTAGCCCCGCAACTCGCCTCCAACTAACTACCCTCGTAACTTTCTAGCTAAATTCTCTTATGATCTATTATTCATACCACATTCTCTTCTTTTGGACAAGTTTTGGATTAATCTTATTGAATTGAATACGGAATTCTAATGTTGTAATGTTTTTCAACTAATTTCTTTTCTTAGTTTTAAATCATAGGGAGTGAACATATGATTGAGTGTTAATAGTTTTGGATTAGCTCTAGTTTTTGTTTTTGCTGTTTCTGCGCTATGCCTATTTTGTTGTCCATGTGGTTTTACTTTTGGGAGAGTATCTGGGCAATTAGCTTTTATCCTGATTGAGTATATTCCATGCCATTTTCAGTTTTTTGGCAAATGGTGTAGGAGCACGAAAATAGGTAGAAAAAACATAAAAGCTGTTTAAGGCTTAAGCGGGAGATTTTGACCATATGGTTGCCTAAGGACAAGGAACATGAAATGAATTATCAGCAACAGTTTCTAAATTCAATTCTCAGCCACCTTGTGTTTGTGCCAAGCTTTGGGGGCCAAAAAATAAAAGGTTGCACCCACTGTAATGTCTACCGGTTGACCCGCATTTAAATCACAAATATATATATTTATATATATATATCCAAATGCGTGTAGATTATGGATCTGTAGTTCGATCAGATTCATTGAAGTGCCATCAAGCCATTGTAGAATTTTGTTTAGCTTACAACAGGGCAAATTCAAGTTCAAACAACTTATGTGATACTTTTTCATTGCATCTAATAAACACTCTTGTCTGTCAAGGCCTCGAAATTGAAGTTGCAAGAAGCGAATAAAGAAAATGAAGAAGAAATGCAGAGGTGCGCTCAGGAACTTTTTATGCTGGTTGATTCAGTCTCGAAGTTCAAAGAATATATGGGATCCAAAATTTCAGAGATGAAGAGTGATCTTTCAGATACAGCAGTTGCTGTCTCAGATGCATACAGGGGCTCGTTCCCAGCACAGTTTGGTAATATATTCGACTTAAACCGTGTCAAGTGACTTCAGAAAACAAGTGAACCATTATTGTGTTAATACGATGCTTAGCAAGATTCTTTCTGCAAACTAAAAACGATGCTCTGTTGATTGATACCTTGTTAAATCAAGATTCACTTTTAAAGTCTGTACTATAGTTTCTGGGTATGTTTTCAGAGGAAAACGACTGCAATGATTGTACTATTGTTATCCTTGCATGTTTGAATGTAATCGTTTATGACATATTAAAATGACAACATTTGCAAAATATTAAATTGATAGCAATAATCTATCAATAATCAGAGTAGAGCTCAAGCGACTCCTATTTAACTAAAGTGCTGAGAAAACTTTTTATCTGATCCAAAATCATTTGTCAGCCATACTCCAATTTTTTAACCCAAAAAACCAAAAAAAGACAACTGTCGTTCCCGTCAACAACATGAACTTTTGATCGATTGGTTAAAATTTAGGTGAGGATTTCTTGATCTATTTAATTTTAGTCAAAGCTTTTGAAATTTTAAAATTTTATTGTCCATATGAGAGATTGAAATAAAATTAAAGAATCAGCTGAAATGATTTTATTATTCTTGGTGAAATTAGATGTGTGAATAATTTGTGTGAAAAAAATGAACAACTAATGTATGGACACGAAATAATTTTATTATTTTTAATGAAATTAGGTGTATAAATGACGTGTGTGGAAAAAGTGAACAATTGATACATTAAAAATAAATAATTGATATAAATAAAATTTGTAATTGTCATTAAAAACACAACAATATTATGAATTTATGCTTTTATTTTACTGATATCAATTGTTCATTTTTTTTTTATATAAGCTGTTCATGCTTTTAGATTTACTTATTTATATTTATTAGTGTTACATTGTTAATTAGAGTTGTAAATTTCACCTACATCAATTATTTATTTTTCATATGTCAATTTTTTATTTTTCATATATCAAGTATTCATTTCATTAATAACAATAAAGTCATTTCAATTAACTCTTTAATTTCATTTTATTCTTTCACATGTACATTGAAATTTCAAAATTTGAGAAGGTTTGACTGAAATTAAGTTGGATCAAGAGATCTTCACTAAAATTTTCCTTTGGTTTTGTGATTTAAATTTGACAAGTTATAATGGCCAAAATGAAAAGGAAAATAAACTTCAATCTACTCTCTCCGTCCTATTATAAGGTATTTTTTAAAAATATTTTTTCAGTTCTAAATAATGCAAGACATTTGATGAGGAATTTATTACATTTTTTAATATTATTCATATTAAAATTTTCAACTATGAAACATAATATAATATAAATTTGTAAACCTTTTATTTAAATAAAGATAAAATTAACAATTTATTATAATTTCTAATGAAATTAATAACTAAACTATCATTTTTTATTCTTAATGAGGCCGTCATCGCAAATAATTGGATCAGTACCAGCCCGCCTCTTTCTCAAAACTTATCATCACTTGGGTGTGTTTTGTTTGAGCCTTGTGGGATTTGTGAACTGCCATTTCTTTTTTATTTCTTTACTTTAAAAAAAAAAAAAACTTTTTTCCCTCCAACGTGCGAGGGATTAAATAGGGTTTTATTTATTTTATAGAAATTTTATTAAAAAAAACTAAAAACTGCCCTCTACAATACACGGGATTAAATAAAAAAAATAACAAAAAGTTATAAAGAAACAATTGAATTGAAAAAAAAAAAGCAATTGTGGATATGGCATTGTTATATTCATTGTTATTAATTTTTTAAAAAATTTGAGTGTTATTTAAAGGTTACTCTTTCCAAAATAATGCACCTTATGCATTAAATAATCTTTTATTATCATAACTAAATATAAAATAATCTTATCCTCTTATCTATAGTAAAATTTACTGGTCATGGAACAGTGAATATAACAATGCCATATCCCCAATTGTTTTTTTTAATTCAATTGTTTCTTTATAACTTTTTATAATATTTTTTTAATTTAATTTCATGCGTTGTACAGGGCAGTTTTTAGTTTTTTTTTATAAAATTTTTATAAAATAAATATTTTCTTATAAAATTTGAGTGTTATCTAAAGGTTACCCTTTCCAAAATAACGCACTTTATGTATTAAAAAATCTTTTATTATTATAACCAAATATAAAATAATCTTATCCTCTAATCTATAGTAAAAGTTACTGTTCATGGAACAGTGAATATAACAATGCCATATCCACAATTGCTTTTTTTTTTTTTTTCAATTCAATTGTTTCTTTATAACTTTTTGTTATTTTTTTTATTTAATCCCGTGTATTGTAGAGGGCAGTTTTTAGTTTTTTTTAATAAAATTTCTATAAAATAAATAAAACCCTATTTAATCCCGTGTATTTTTTAGTTTTTTTAACAATGCCTTATCATCACTTTTTTTTTAACTTTTTGAGCCAATTTTTTTTTTTTCCTAGTTCACCCTATTTAATTTTGCTACGCTCCACAATGAAACCCTCGATCGCTTCACTCTGCATGGTCCAGCCTCTTGCTCTCGCTTTGCCTCTCTCACCGTGCGTCGTCTGAGCGTCCTCATTCCGCCGCTGTGTTTCCGTCAGGCATTTTCCGGTCAGTTTCCCTCTGCTGTTCTCGCAATCGTCATTCTTCACAAATCCATTTCTTTTCTTACTCGGTTTTCCGTCGATCTTGGCTCCTTTATTTCTCAAGTTGAATGGTGTCTATGGTTCTGATTTCTAGTCATGGCTTTGATTTCGCTGATGGTGCTGATTTACAGAAGATTCAATGCAATATATATCTGATTTACTGAATATTTGCTGATTCTTATGCTGGTCCTGCATCTTCTGGGAGCATTTGCTTTAGGTTTATACTATGTGCAGTTGTCTGTTCCGCGTTTTTTTTCTTTTGCTGAATCGAAAAAAGAAAAGATCAAGTTTAATGCACATGAAACAACATTGGATAGAGAATTCAAATGTGCGTATGTGCAGTTGGGCACAAGACGCGTATAAAATAATAAAAAAGAAGCAAAACAAAAGACTGTAGCAAATGTTGGATGCTGCAAGTCTTCCAACTTAATCGAATATGATTTCACAACTATTGTCTCTCTATGTTTTCATGTCCTAATGTTCATTTTTCACATTGGATTTATTTTATTCTGTATTGTGACTAGACGGGGCAATGAATCTAATAATTATGGCTTTTATATATATGAAGATTGTTTTATATTATTTTATTTTGTATATATATATGTGTGTGCAAATTGTTTTTGTGTTATTGTGTTTATGCTTGTATTTGTGATTATTGTTGCTCATTTATTGATCTGTTTTATGCTTTTTCACTTGCTTTATTAGATGGATTTGGAAACTGAATATCTTTCAGTGGTGCAATAATGGCTTAAATTGTGTCGAAAGCAATAGCTCTACTTAGGTGTGTTATTGCACAAGTATATGAAAGTGAGATTTATCCTAAAAAGAAGTTACAATTTGAGTAACAAGAGAAAGAAGATGCATGGAGAAATAATGAGTCGAATAAGTAGTTGTCTATCTGTTTAAAATATCATTAGAATCTGGTCTACTTGAGTGATATCCACATGAATTCTCACTTTTTTTTCAGGGTAAATCTAAAATAGCACTGCAGAGAACTATTCCTTTCCCAAACTATGAGAAGATGATATTATATGGAATAGATAGAGCCTATGGAAATGAGGCGGAGACAACACGTGAGTGGAGAAAGAGACGTCGTTCTATAGAAGAGGTCCCTAAAACTGTCAATGATATTGATAACCTCATCTCACAAAACAAAGTTAAAATTCCTAAACAAGAGCACTCATCCACCACTATTAATGGTGCTTGCATCAAGAGGATAAAGAAGGTGGCTAAAGAGAAGGATAATAATATTAAGGAGCTAATAGGGGCAATACGTGCTGTGACTCAGGCAATTGAACAAGGAAATATGATACTAGCAAAAATTTGCAAGCCTGTGCCACAATTGTCAAGTGAAGAGCTTTGGAAAATGCTTGAAGAATGTGGGTGTGATGCTAAAAGAATACCTGACATATATTGCTTTCTTATGTGTGATGTTGATAGGTTAAGGGCAGCAATTCAATGTCCAATTTCAGCACGAAAGCAAGTAATAATGATGATGTTCTCTGGTTCTAATTAGATGGTCCTTCAATAATTCATGATGACATTAGTTATATGGTTTGTTACTCGCCCAAAATGCGGCTCCTAAGCATTGAATGATGAGTTTTGTTGAATGTACTAAATATGACTTGCTATATGATTTTTGTTTAGATGGTAATTTTATTTCATTTTTTAGAAAAAAAGATATTCTTTTTGTTAAAAAGTATAGAATATTTTTAATTGAATTACACTCTCAATGAAGTAGTTAGTTTTCTTTTAATTAATATTATTTTTTTTTTATATTTATTCTTAAATGTAAAGCGACTTATTGATTAGAAGCATTTTTGGTAAAAGTTTATTAATGTCTCAAAACATTAAAAATATTTTATATTTTATAATTTTTAAAAAATATTTTATATTTTATATTTTTTAATGGGATAACTACTACATTAAAATTTAGTTGTGACAATGTGTTTTAATTGCACATATTGCTCATCGTCTTTATTGCACGAACAATCACTTCAGCCTCAGGTTAGTGTTTGATTTTATTTTTGCTCTGGCATATGGATTTTTATTTAGGTTTCATTATTTGATTCTGTTCATCTAATTTACATATATTAAAAGGAAAGAAACATTATTATTATTCTCAAGCTACTGGAATGATAAAAGGAGAGACAAACGTTAAATAAAAGGAAAAAAATAATGACAAATGGATATTTAATTGTCTGTACATACATTTTAATAAAAATTTATATCAATTTTTTAATACACATATGAACTATTTTTAGAGTGATTTCTTAAAAATGATGCAATTTGAACAACTGAGCTTAATGTAAAATTGATTTACATGCAAAAAAGGTAAAAAATAAAAGAAAAACTTTTACACAAGGATATAATGGTAATTCAGTTATTCCATTCATTCCTCTCCCCTCCTGATCCACACCTTGGAAGTCTTGAACCAAAGTCTGGGTTTTCAATTCATAATCACGGCAAATCCACATTAAACTAGGCCACTTGCTTAATGGTAATAGAATAATTTTAAGGCTTAAATTCCAAATTAATTTTTTTCAATTAGAAACATTACATACCCACAGCTGTGAATGACATCTATAAAACAAATGCCTTGAAAGAAATATCCAAATGCTTTAGTTTTACGAATAACAAAACTAGAAATCAAGAATCAGATTAGAAACATTACAAGTGTTATTATACACACGTCTTAATTGCAAGTAAGTGATGAATTCCCACCAATGCTCTAATTACAGAAATAGTCCACATAGGTACATAGAATACACACACGTGAAGTGACCGCTTTTCCTTTGGCCAACTCTTTTTTTTTCCTTGAATATTAAGCCAAGCCTAAGCTTGATAACTAGAGTACAAAGAGAAATCTAGTTCGCCAAACGATTGGCAGGTACTTCAGAATAAAAGATATTAAAACAATCAATAGGGACTGTCTGCATAACTTGCAACTCAAAGCTACCATGATGGGCACTCCTAGCCAGTTGGTCCACACACGGCCAACTCTTTCTTTTGGCTAACAAGTTTGCTTTGACAGCTGAGATCACAGATTGTAATTTAAATACAGTTCACAACCTGAACCACACCTTCTGAGACTGCATAACTTGTATGCAAAAGCAATCACACACACAAGTTCTTGATCTGACCTTTGGGCAAATTGATCTACAAAGGCAAATAAACCAAGTCAACTATGAGATCATCAGTGACCTAGTTTACAGATTGAAGTTACTTGAAAATTTCCCGGTGAAAAAGATGTTTTCTCCATTGCTTTGGAAAATGAACTTCAAAAGAAAAAGTGTTTGAAACCTGCAGGCTGAAAATTACGCACAAGATAGCCATAATTCTCATTGTGTAGTAAACTGCCACAGAGCATTCGGTCGAGGATGAACAAGTCTTTCATCTCCTTGATGAGTGTCTAGTCCCCACACTGATATGAAGTCGCTGCTTTTCATTCTGCAGCGAGCTGACGTCAATGTTGAACATTGAACTCTTAATCTCACACCCCCCCCCCTTTTTTTTTAATTCTACCTTCACTAGAGGCAAGCACGGTGGGTAAGAATGTAACCAAACTAGCTGAATATTGAAAGGCCCAGCTCAGTAGACATCTGCATACCTTCTATTGTATTCATCTTTCATCTGTATTCCACTGGCCTAATGGCTAATGGTATGCTCTAAGAGAATGGAGGAGAATAGACGACAGAAGGTGAAGGAAGGATTGATTTAGAATAAAATCAAGGGGAAGGTCTGAGTTATCCTTCTATTTCTATCCTCTTCCATAATCCTCTCCATTCAATATAAGTAATTCTGGCATGTACTTGTCACACAACCAGTTAGAGCTGGGAATCAATGGAGACTTACCAAAATGGGTGTGCTAAGGGATACCTCCACCTGAACACCCCACTTTGACAAGCTCTCATTGGCTTCTAGCCTGTAGATTAATTTCTCAGTCAACCCAGTAAGGCAGTAACCGTATCCCTTCATGCTCCATTTAGTGAAAATGGTGGACGTGTAGACCTTCTTGGTGGCAATACACAAATGCCAGATTGCTAACCCACAGATAGAGCACCCTCAAGACCGTAAATTGTTAATATGCGGAGAAGCAGGACTCATAGGAGATAGAAATGGCCTTTTTACAAATGAATGATCCAATAACTGGACTGCAGTTGGCCTTTCATTAGGGTTAACTTGCAGGCACTTGAGAATAAAATCTCGGGCATCTTTTGATAAAGATGCTGGAACAGGAGGAGGTTCACCTCTACCAATCCGAAATAAAGCTTGCATCTGATGTGACAAAGAAAAAATATATCTATCACTAGTCATCCAAGGTTAAAGAGAAGCATAGCCTATCTAACTTAAAGGTCTGAAATCCGAATAGCCAAGTCAACTAAAATTCTGAAGGAAATTTGTAAGAGTAGGAAAGTAGAGGCAAAGGAGGAGAAAATCCAGCCAGTAATAGATCAATCAAGGAGAAAGGGTAAAATAACCAAGCTTCAGGATAAATAAGGGGACATATTGAGAAATGTTAGACATACTCCTTCCAGATGAGAGTAAGGAGGCTGGCGTGTCAACATCTCCAAAACTGTGCATCCCAAGCCCCATATATCAGCTGCTAGGCCATAACCACGGCTTTTCAGATTTACAACCTACAATCAAACAATTTAATTCATAACAATCACATTTAAGCTCGTGTAGTGTGAAAATTTATGTAACAGTTATAAAAAAATTCCAGTAAATTACAAAGGAGACGAAATAAAATCATTTGAAGATTGCGAATGTGAACTCTGGCATGAGAAAAATAATGGAGCCATATGATTAAGTTGAATAGTTTAGAGATTTTCTACTTACTTTTTCTCAGCAAATCAGAACATTTTATAAAATGCAGACCAAGGCTAACAACTGAGCTAGACGGCTATGTCATCTCATTCTAGTTCATCCATTTGCACGAATTAAATTTTAAATTATAATAACAAACAAATTGTGCAAGGGCAGCAGCTAACCTCAGGGGCCATCCAATACGGGGAGCCTTTGCTTGATTTAACATCATTCATAGTGGTTGCCTGTTAATATAGAATGATCAATATAATGTATATTCAAAGCAGCATTTTGATTTGCATCGATAAGACCATCCTTTTTAGCTCAAGTTAAAAAAAGCAGGGAGCTGAATGGAAAATTTGTTTCCATGATAAAGGGTACCTTGGCTAGCCCAAAATCAGCAAGCTTTACTGACCCATTTGCATCAACCAGTATATTAGCACACTTGATGTCCCTAAAAGTCATTCACCATAAAAACTATCACTTGTTATCCAGTTCCATCCAAATATGAAATTCCACAATTTGATATACCAACATGTGCACGCAAGGAGCCACCTCAGTTCCCCCCAAAACTTTTAAGAGTATCTCTCCCTAGAACATTAAGCGCCAAATAAAATTCACTTGAACCTTTCATGCATCAATGAAATATCAATAGCCAAGCCAGCTACACTTCCTACCTAACCTAACCTTTTATCATATTGCTCACAGGCATCAATATAGTATGCTCAGTTGGCCGTAAAAAAAAAAAAAAATCAACATAGTATGTTCACTCCTTACCTGTGAACCACATTGCGATCATGAAGATACTTTAACCCACTTAAAATCTGCCTTGTGTATGAAGAAACTTGAGAGTCCCTCAGACGATACTTTTGATAGAGTTTTGCCAATGATCCTTTGGTTACAAGCTCTAGGAAGATGTATAGCGTATTTTTATTCTAAGAAAGGAAAGTTATCTCATTAGTAACAAAAAAAGGAGAGAAATAACGACACTTGAAATGCAAATGCTATCGAATAATAGAGCTAGGCATAAAATAATTCAGGGAGCAGACCACTGAAAAGGGTACAAGAATTCACACATCACTGAAAGCAATTCCCAGATGTGGGCCAACAAACATCATTTTGAGGTAAAAATTAGAGGAACAAAGGCATCAAATAGCCAGTCAGTTTATTGATATAAATCACGAAGCTGTAAACCCAAACAGAAAAAATGAAGCTAATGAAAAGGAGGACCATAAGGGGAGTTCAAAACTTTAGATAAAGCCAGCTCATACTACTTCAAGAGTCCTACAAAACATGGATAAAGGTAAGTTTATGTCACTTCTTGGGCCAAACATGAGGAAGTTTGTTTTGAATTTGGTTTATTAGAGTTAAGGTCCAAAATGAAAAGTAGGTTAATATTTTAAAATTGAAATGCCAAAAGGAAGAAGTTATGTCCTTGAAGCAGCCCAACAGCGATCAAGAAGACCCTTGGAGATTTACAAATAGTTTCTTATTTAAATTGGCTCATTCATGAACATGAATATATTTTCATCCAAGAATATCATACTACAGGGGAATAAAAGAGACTTTCCAGTTAGCGAGCAGCATACCCTGTCTGTGCCAAGATATCGAACAATGTTCTCATGTTCAAATTGACTCAAAAGATATATTTCCTGAAAGACAGGCCGTAAAAATATTCCATTTAATCAAATTTTCCCATGAAAAGATGGAATAAATAAATAAAGAATAAGCCATCGAAACCAGGAAGAATGAATAACCAGCCTTTACACCTGCTGAAGTTGGAAAATGCTCTGTTTTCCTTGGGTTCCCTGATCCAGCAAAGAAACTTCCTTTACAGCAAAAAAGAATCCATCACTGCAGGAAAAGAAAATGCACGTGTTACTTCTGTCAAAACAAAGTAAAATATAAATCAGGAAGAATGAATACCCAACCAAATGGTTTCTTGAGATATCTTCTGTCTAATGTCTTTAGCAGGTCTTTGGTAATAGAGATTTCAGATGTATAGAGTTTTCGACGGACAGGCAAGTCACTATCTTTTAAAATGTGTATTCATTATGTAACTTGCAACAGTACTCACTACCATGATTTGGTTACTTTCCTCAAACGGACATATGATTACAACAAGAAGCCTTATACGACGCCATTGTGGACAAATGATTAAAAAAAAAAAAGTTCCTAAATCATCGGTTTAGGTTTATTAAAGTGATAATCAAGTTTGCTTGAACATCAAGTTATTTCCAACTATTCATTAGTGTGAGTGTGAGTCGGCTACATGCATGATGCCATTGTGAAACTAGTGAAGGCAAGAATGAAAAACAAGGAAACAAAGGAACTCACTCTGTGAAGCCTTCATACACCGTTCCAAATGATCCTTTCCCTAAAATCTCCCCCTTTTGCCAAGATTTGAAAATGCGTCTAAATGAACCATTTGGAGAGACATTGTAAACCGATTCGTCAGCACCACCAAAAACCTTGTGAACAACGCCATCACTTTCTTCGTCATCACGGGACGTAGATGAAGAAGAATCCGAAATAAGATTTCTTTCCCCATGTCTCCGACTATGCGACTCTTCCCCACCATCAATTCCTCGGTCACCAACCTCATTTGCTCCGACGCGCATTTCATCTTCCTCCCCCGAAGAAATGATTCCCTCATCACGAATCGGTGAATCATTATCAACAACACCGTCTGACAAAGACCTCACTAAATCCCAAGTAGATATCCCGTCATCCACGACCGGCGGCAGCATTACTGGGGGCGTTGAAAGGACGGGAGGCCTAGCACCCTTGATTCCCCCACCCCCAAGAGGCTTAGAATCAGATGGAACGTCACTCTTCCCGAGCTGCCCTTCATCAAGAGGCACTTCAATACCACGATTAATCGAAACCCTAGATTCAAGTTTCACCGATTTCTCATCCTCTACCTTCTTATCCGGTAATTTAGCACTTAAATTATAGCGAGACCTTTGGGCTTTCCAGGCATCAACTGGAATGGCAAAGTCGTCCGGGCCAGAAAGCCCAAGGCTGCGGAAAATCAATTCGAACTCGCCGTCGATTCCCTGGACACGGATGCTGGTTTGTCTCTGAAGAGAAGGGGAAAGATCGAGGGATGAGGGAGATTGAAAATCTGGGGACGAGGAATCGTCGAAGGAGGAAGCTAAGGAGGCGGGAACTTGGTAATCGATGTTCTTCATGGCATTTCGGCGCTCAAGCCTGGGCTTCAGGCGCTTGCGCTTGGCAGCGTCCATGTCTTGAAGGTGTGGATGATTTCTGGGGCGGAAATGTCAGTATCAGAGTCAGGAAGCGAAAACCAGGAACAGCACCGGAGAGACGGCTGAACTGAGAGTGTACAGCATCTTATTTGGCAGATTGCATGAAGTGATTGGGCTGAAAGGTGGAGGAAGAAGAAGAAAGAGAAGTGAGAGGAGAGCGATGGATTGCCACGTGGCGACAGGCGCAGACACCGAGATGATGAGGAAGAGTTGTTGGGAGTTCTATGGTCAGGGTCTGTCACCCTCCCTTCCACTTCCGCCATTCGTATTCTTATAATACTCCTTCTCTTGCAACTCAATTTTGCCGGTCTGACTATAATTAAAGTCGGGAATAAAAATTAAATTTGACGGACCGTTCGTTTAAATTTATTTTAATAAAAATTTGGATTTACAATTTTAATATTTTTTAAAATAATTAGGCTTCAAAGTCCAGCCCTTTTAAACCCTAAGAAAATAAACTCGGGCCCAGGTAATTCGTGAAGCCCATTTTACTATTCACAAAGTATTGTTTTCGTCTCTTTTCAGATAATGTGCAAACATTGATTTATACCTGCAATTGGTTGAATTTTTTTGTGCCATTTTATAGTAATTTTTATATTTTATCTTGTGATATATGTGTAGATATATATTTGATAATAAAAAATTTTAATTAATAATTATTGTAGGTGATGATGATGAAGCTACAGAAATAATTGATATTGTGCCTCCGCCTCCGTCTTTCACAAGTGAATCTACATTTGAGGGTTTTAATATTTTATTTATGGATGATAATGAGGGAGATCTTGATTAAGATTGATGATATTTGCCTTCATCTTATTTACTTTTGTTCATTTTTTAGATTATATAAGACTTTGATTTGATATATGTTAAATTTTAAAATATTCTAAATAAATGTTAATGTTGAATTTTATTTTATTTTATTCTTATTTGGGTTTACGGGCCCGGCCCTGAACCCTATGAATAAGGTTCGAGTTTTAATTTTAAAATAAAATTAAGGTAACCGAATTTTAGGACCTAGGTCCACTCATTTACCAACTCTAACTATAACTTAAAATGGTTAACTTATTACATTTTATTTTAAAATTAAAAATATTACAGTATTTGAGATATATAGAAACAATAAATTAAAATAAATTTTTTAATAATTTATAATAGAAGTAAAATTAAAAATTATTAATTAATAATTTTTATGTGACTCATATTAAAAATTATAAAATTATTATAAAAAAAAAACTTGTAATAAGGACCAAAGGAAATAATAAACAAAGCTCATATCCTTACAAAATTCAAAGCTAAAGGCAAACAAATTGCTGGAAGTGTTTAATAATTAATAATCTCTTTATCATAAAATGTATACAATAGACTCATGTTTATTTCACTTATTATACTTTCTCCATATAAAAATATAAAATATTTTTTAAAAAATTAAATATTAAAAAAATGTAAAGTATTTTTAGTCTTTTAAGATGTAATCATTGTTTTTTTTTTTAAATACCCCTATTGATGAATAACTTTATATTTATTATAGGGTATTTAATAAGGTAAATATGAAAAAATAGAATTAGTTTAAAAATAAAAAATCACTTCATTAAAAGATAAAATTTAATTAAAAATATCTTATATTTTTAAATGAAAGAAGTTACATTGAGAATGCGTAGCCTAATTAGGAGGACAAAGCTACACCAAATTGAAGAGAAAAACAAATAGGCAAATAGCCAACTCTCTCCAGAGAGTATACATCTATCTCATTTTGTAAGTAAATTTCTCATTTCTTTATCATAAAATATTTTTTTGATATGTCAAACATACAGTTAGTATTTATACAAAAAATTCTAGCATACCTATCAACAAGTATTTGATTTGACTGGTAAAGAAACTGTACCACCTTAACTTTAAATTTTAAGTTTGAGTCATGAAAATATCTCAACATCTAAAAGTAAAACTTTGAAAGACCTCAACATGTCTCTATCTGAATTAATTGGAAACGGTTGGCCTTCGAACAGTGGATATTTTATTTGAAAAATTTCAATAAACCTTCCTTTTCTGAGAAACAATTAGAGTTATACTAAGTTCAATATGAAATGCAGTGCATGTGCGTGGCATGTCAATAAATACAGTATTACATTTATGTTACTTAAAATTAAAATATTGACCAAAAAAATTAAAACAAAATGAAAAGTCAAGGTGTCACATGGTTTTCTGACTAGAGAAGAGCAATCATCCTCGTTCGTGATTTTCCATACTTCATTAGCCAATTAAACTTTGTTGACGTGTCCCATGGATCTCAATCTTAGGACTCTCTTCCGTTCGATTTTTTTTTTTTTTTTGCCTTTGGGCCTTGGAGGCAAAGATTTTCCAGGCTCATTAAATCATAGTATTAAAAATCAAACCAAATCAGCTGGGTCAATTCAAAAACTAGTGACCCGATCTCTTGTTCGATTTGAGTTTACTCTTAACCCAGTGAGAGAGTAAATCAATATAACCCGATTAACCCAGGTTCAACCCGGTATAACCCGGTGGGTTGATTGGGTTAACCAGGTTATTATTTTTTCAAACTTTTACCCCCAAAATGATGTTGTTTTTGTTTTTTTTTTTTTTATTTTTCAGAGCTCTGAGTTCGGAAATAAGATAACAAAAAAAAATAAAATTGAAGTCAAAAAATAAAAAATTAAAGGCAGAGCATGCTAAGTCCAAAAAATTTAGTATTTTATTATTATTAGACTTTTGAGTGGTTGGATTTGGTTGAATGTTTTTATAATTAATATTTTTTTATTTAAATTATATTATTTTAATCATGACCGGTTTGCCACCGATTCAACCCCGATTGAACCACTAACCCGTGACCCAATATCATGACCGGTTTAATGACTGATTTGGTTTTACGTACCTTGCATTAAACAATTCAATGCAGAGACTGGTAAACATGTGTAAACGTAAACTAATATTTTAATTTTTAAAGAGAGTTATCTCTAATTGAATCTAATAATGTAAATTTAAAATAATCCTTGAATCTGATCTAATCTAAAATCTAAAAAAAATAATTAAATGTTGTTGTGCTTGCTATATGATGTTGAAAGTTTATCGTATTGTTGTTGCCGCGTGATCACTATTACAACTGTAAAAGGTCCATTTTTTTCAAAAAAAAAAAAAACGCGTTTTCAATTTTAGGGAGAATCATACAATAAACAATTTCACTCTAGGCTCACTACATTTTAATATTACACTATAGGCCCAACAGTTTTTGTTGCAATTTTTTTAAAAAACGAAAGTACAATCTTCAAACATCATGTTGTGCAAGAAAAATTGTACTTTCCTCTTCAAAAAAAATTACAACCAAAGTTCTTGAACCTGCAGTAGAATAATAGAATATATTGAGTTTATAGTGTAATTTTTTAATCTTTTAAAGTCTGCAGTGCAATTCTCCCCTTTTTAAAGTGTTGCTGTATTGCCTTGTTGATGGCGATATCCCATCGTGAATTTCACTTTAGACGACGCTGTAGGGACAGCGAACATATCTTTTTTTTTTTTTTTCCTTCTTTTCCCTTTTATTTTTCTTTTTTTGATCCGAGAATAATGGAGATATTTTTTTAAAATAAAACGAAACATATGACCTCCTTTTTTCTTGTGCGATTGACCAGCTGTAATTTTTTTCTTTTTTACTGTTCACACATGGGAAACGTTAACTCATACAGGACAATTTTGGTATTTATTTTAAGGAAAATACAATTAAGGAATTGAAAGATTTAATTAAATTTAAATGAAATAAAGACTAAATGTTTCCGAAATTTGAAATAATGACCAATGCTTTTTTAATGAATTGGTCTAAAATTAAAGTTTGCTATTTTTGTTTAGGTTAAAAAGTAATTTTATCTTTAAATTATAAATCAAAAAGCGTATGGTATTTTGAACATATTTTTTACATAATGTTCTCCTTTAATTTTTAAAAACATTGTAATATCGCTCCTGATATTAACAAAAATTAAATTTAAGCATTAGTTGATAAAAAATATTACAAAAAAGGATAAAGAAATTATTTCTGTTCTTTTCTATATTTTTTGGATCATTTTTTGTAATTTTTATCAACTAATAACAATCAAAATTAATATTTATTAGTGGTAGAGCCAATATTATATCATTTTTAAAAATTAAAAAAATATTGTATAAAAAATGAATTCAAGGTTCCAAATGCTCCTACATCTATATTTTAACCATTGTTATTTCATAATTTGCAACTATCAAAATAAGAATTTTGCATGTGAAATTCACTAATGTGTGAAGGAGAAACTTGTCAAACATAGTGTCACCATATTTTCATTAATTTTCTTTTCTCATACCCTTATTTGCAAACCTCAAAATAAGAGTTTACAAATAAAATTCATTAATTTGTGAAGGAAAATTTTGCTCAAGTAACTATGTATTTGATAAGTTTTTTATTCACAAATTAGCATTTTTGGTTTAAAAGTTGCAAGAATGAGAGTAGCAAATATTTAGATTAATTTATTATATTGAAGAAGCTTTAGTCTTTGTTTTAAATTTTCAAATCTTTATATTCTTGTTTATAAGTTTAATTCAATCTATTAGTTTAATATGTCATCCCCTTTGTTTTATTTGGCTGTCTTTGGAAGTCTTAATTTTTTTTTATTTGAGTAAATAAATATAAATAATTTGTGAAACTTGTGTTGTTTTGTTTGTCTTATCTGCTTGTAAAAGTTATGTCATTGGGAATCCAGAGGCAGAAAAAGAAAATCGGGAAATAATAGCAGGCCTGCATTTTAAATGTATTTAGGTATGAGAAGATCTTGACTTAACTGACTATACATTATATATTTTTTGCGAAAACAATAACCGTTGCTTTCATGTATATTTTTTAATAAAATTATAAATTTTTTTAAAATTTTATGTTTTATCCAAAATATCCAAATAATTATTCGATGTTCACTGTGGATTTTTTTTAAAAAAAAATTGAAGACGCTAAATTTTGAGCAAGATAAACTTTTGTTACTGATTAGTTTCTTATTTTACTTGTGAAACACGCTTGTAACAAACTAACAATGACATTTTTAAAGTTCAACTTTTTCACAAACAAATTTCCCTAAATGTTGTGCTGTCTATATGTAGCATTTTTGAATTCTTTTTTATAAGAATAATAATTTTGAATTCTTAATTATATATATATATATATAACTTTTTTAACGTGGTAGTGAAATAATTAACTCATAATTTCGGCAAAAAAAAATATTAACTTATAATTAACTGTTGGATTTACATGTAAAATAAAAAAGTTTGGAAAAAGATAACTCTAAGTTCCTACACTTTACTCGCATTTTGCTATTAATCTCTACATTTTTTTGATATTCTAAATCTCTACACTTTATTTATAAAAAAACCTAAAACACTAAAAAATAAAATGTAGAAATTTAGAACATCAAAAAAAAATGTGCAGAGATCGGTAACAAAACACAAGCAAGGTGCAAAATACAAAGTTATACTTTTCCAAAAAAGGTTCAAAATGGATTTATCGTCCTTGGCAAGAACAGGGTTTGTTGTCAAATTCTAAGATGACGACGATAATAAATTACCTAATATAATTTATTAAATTAAAAAGATATGTAATCTATCTAATTTTAAATTTTTAAATTTAAAACTTCAATTTATAAACAAAGAGGAAAAAATGATTCTTTGTGTGCCACAACTACCATTGATTTATGGCTTTTTTTTTTCCTTACCTGAATACCATTGATTCATGGCTTTAACTCCATGCAATTCTCTCAATCCTTAAATTTGATTATCAATTGGGATAATGAAACTTTTATTCTTTTAAGTTTGTGTTAGTTATCAATTTAATCTCTCAAATTTAATTTTTATTAATTTAATTGTTAAGTTTGTCTTAGTTATCATTTGATTGTTTTTTAAAAATATAAAATTATTAAAATTTATTGACATGGATTATGGAATATTATTGGTAGCTATGTAGATCAATGAAATGAAGTATGATTATTTATGTAGTAAAAAACATGCTAAGAAATTTTTAAAAGCAAAAGAATAAAATGCAGTATAATGGATTAGATTAATAAAAAATCAAACTGATTTGAAAGCTAAATTGTTCTCATTTAGCTACATATACGTACTAAATTATCAATATATATACACACACTTTAGACATTAGATTAATTCATGCTTTAATTTGTGTTTTAAATTACTTAAAAGACAAACATGATAATTTATAAAAATATAAAGGATGAAATCGATAAAATTAAACTTAAAGGATTAAATTAATAATTGAGATGAACTTGACCGATCAAAAGTTTCATTATCCCTCTATCAATTCATGCAACTTTAATTTGTTCTTTCTCGTATAAAAATGAAACGGAGTTTCTCTTAATGATATTATATATGTGTGTGTATTTTGTTGTGCAATCAACCATAGTTTGGATATATTTGGATTCATCGCCCTTTAGTTAGTTAAGGTTAATTAGTTTGAACTTGTTGCTGTTGGTTAATGATTTTGTATGAGCATGTTGCTCTTGGTTGTATGAATATAATATTGATTCTCTCTTTACTTTCTTAACATATTCTTTTACAACAATCATTTCACATCTGAATAATTAATGTAACATTTTATGTGGCTCCAATACTCTAAATTTATGGACAACTGAAACTTTGTTTAACTCAATTCCATTAATATTTAGGACAAATCTCAGAGTAATACAGCAGTCAAATTTTTGCATTTTAAATTAGAATAGAACTCGAATAAATCCACATATATACTCCCTCCGTTAAAAAATACAATGCATTTTTAATTGAATCTCACCCCCTAATAAAGCAGTTACCTACTTTTAAACTAATCCTATCTTTTCATATTTACTTCTATTAAATAAATAGGGATACTTAAAAAAAAGATAATAATTATACCTCAAAAGATTAAAAATGTCTAACATTTTTAAACACTAAATTCCTTAAAAAATGCTTTATATTTTAAGGAAATGAGTATATAATTGAGCAATTTAAAGTCACACGTTAATATGGAGATGTGTGTGTAAAATTGATTACAATAAAAAATAATACTGTTTGGACTAAAATTGAAATGTCACTCACCAAAGGTCATAACCTAAAGTGGGCTAAGTAATTAAAGAGTTATGCCCAATCAACAATCTAAATAAAAGGATTAGCCTAAATCTCAAAAGAATAACTCAGTCAAACTTGATATTAGTAAATCTTATTCGGGGACAACAACACTTATCCAAATATTGATATTTTTATGTTTGTAGTTCTTAAATTCATTAGATAGCTTTTACGTGTAGCTTTATTTTCATTTTCAATTCTATAATCCTTTAATATTAATCAAATATTTGTTCTACCAACTCTTGTATATCTTTTACATCCAGATAAACTATAGTAAGGGAGTTAGGGGACACTTTGTTATTATTTAAGATTCAATGTTTCTTGTACGCCTGATAATTTATTGGTCCCAATGAGCAAACATTTGTGCAGATTTTTCTTTTGCACCATGAATGCTGATATAGTTAACTATATCATGATGAGAAATCAAAACCCACAAATATTACAAGGGAAAGAAACAGAAAAGGAATATTATAAAAAATAATCAATCAATATATATGCGCGCGCGCGCGCGCACACATATATATAAAAACATTTACCAATATCAATCAATCCGGTCCTGCCAGTGCCACACTGGCGCATTGTGCTCTATATAATCCAAACTTTTACATACCATTTTACTGTATATTCTTTCTATATTCACTCAACTTTTTGTAAACCTATATAAGCTTAACTCCATGGTTGAGCTAGAGACGATTCATCCCTACTTCCTAGGACCAAAAGGAGGACGAAGATCCTAAGGTACTAAAAGGATGGCTCTCTTTATCAACCCTAGACATAGATCAGCTGACTCATCATCATCTTCTTCACCTCTCTCAACTACATACCCTAGGGCTGAGGAAACGTTTTCAAGACTGATCTGCTTGACATCCGAGAAAATGGTGACGGTTGATGGAAGGAAAACGCAGTTTATCATTAGCAGGGTTGTTGGTGAGATCGAACACAAGCCCTCCTTTAGAATTAGAATTAGGATGATGATGAAGATTAGGGTTTAGGGTTGTGAAGTTACTTGAAGAGACGAAAGTGTTACTATAATTAGGTTGTGATGATGATGAAGAGTCAAGTAACATGAAGGAAGCTGCTGTTGAAGCAGTAGACGCCATGGCTGTTGCACCTACAGGCAGAGGATGATTATGTGTCCCTTCGTACGTTGTAATCAGGATCGACATGTCCTCTATGCATCTTTGTACCTGCAAATATAATGTAGCAGACACATATGTAATTAATGTGATTATATTGGAATAATTAATAAAATTAATTTTGAACAAATAATCCTAAACACAAGGCTTAACTATGTGTTAATATACTGTCTTCACTTTTAATCAATTAATTTTCGATCTGTGTTAGTCTTTGTTTTTTTTTCCTTAAATGCATCCATTAAAGACTACTATATATATTTATATATAAACATGAGATACTAACAAAACTAATTAAAGATTTATTAAGACTATTCAAGAATTAATTATGTTAAAATAAATAAATAAATGATTGTGATTGCTTTGGTAATAAATATAATTGCCATACTGATAAAAATAACCGGATCCAGGAGTAAATCAAAACAAAAAAAAATTATGATTGCCAAAAATATTAAAACCAGCTATGTTTAATTAGGAAAAAAATTATCAAATACAAATGCACTCCCTTTGTTTTTATTTATAGAAAAAATTATTACTTTTAGTTTTTTTTATATATAAGCAAAATAAAATTTTTCAATTGACATTTATTACAGATTTCTTAAATTATCTCTCATAATTTCATCATTCATAATTATAAAAAATAATTAATGAAGGGTATTTTAGTTTATTTTTTTTATTTTGAACATAATTAATATAATTAATTAATTTTTTTAAACCGTGTAATGCGTTTTTTTCTCCTACACATATAAGCATATGTGTTAAAGCTTGAGAGATTCAATAATATGTTGGCAAAAAAATCAGAGAGATTCAATAATATGTTGTTGATTAATTTTAGAAAATCGAAATGTTATATTTTTATTATAAAATGATAACAAATAAATTCTATATCTTAATATAATTTTTATGAGAAATTAAAAATGTAAAATTATTTACCTGCTTCCTTACAGGGCATCCTGGAGCTACAGTGCATCGATAATAGGCACGGGGACATGGATTTCCTTTAGCAATTTTTTGCCCATATTTTCTCCATTGGCACCCATCATTCATCTACAAAAACAAATATAATGAAGCAAGAGATCAATTAATAAATTAATCATTTCGCAAAATAGTCATACAATTACTGATGTCAAATTAAGGACAGATTAATTACACACACACACACACGATTAGTATATTTTAATTAAAAAAACTCACAGTGGCTGTGTCACATCTTGCTCTAACACAAACCCTAGCCTTTCTATTTGGAGTAGACGACGTCGCAGCATGAGGATGATGAGAATTCGAAGAAGAATCAGGCAAGTGATGATGATGATGATGAATCTGATTGATGATGAACTGGTTTTGTTGCAGTGACGACGAAGAAGAAGAAGCCACTATTAATTGTTCTTTGTCTGGATCTTGATGAGGTGCATCACTTGGAGTACTTGACGTTGTGTGTAACCTTAGTGATAATCCCAAATCATCATTCTCACTAATACGATCCTTGATAGAGGCTTTGATGTAGTTTTTGTCGGTGCTGCTCCTGGTGGTGGTGGTGGTCCTTCTTCTTCACTTCTCATGGCAATATTATTATTATTCTTGTTGCCTTGAAGTGATGAGAGAGAGATTTGAGGATCCTGTATGTAGATGAGATCTATAATCATTAATCTTATACGCACGCACACACACATATATCACAATTCAAGGAAGAATATTCTGATTGAATAAACAATATATAATGAAATTAATCGTGTAATACACTCTCCCAAACCTATTTACATATCACTTGCAACAAGTTTCATGAAAATTTTAAAATTTATTAACTTTACCTAAAAATTTAAGGTAAAATGTAACTTTTGGTTCTTGATTTTTTTTTTCAATTATCCATTTAATCACTAAACTTTAATTTATAGCAATTCGATACTTATAGTTTATTGACATTAAATAATTCAATCCTTGTAGTTTCTTAAAATTTCGTCTCTATAGTTTTTTTCATTGATTATAGGTATCCTCCTATTGAAAATAATTCTACTCAATTTCTATAATTCTATAATTCAACAAATTATAAGAATTGAGATGTACATTGAATTAAAATTTAAGAACTAAATTGATAATTGAGAAAAAAATTTAATAACTAAAAGTTGTATTATACCAAAATTGATAAGTTTTTAACTTTGCCACCTCTAAATATGCATACTTTACTAATAGTTAATATGAATAAAACTGAAAGAAAAAATTGTGATAATTAAAAAGTCAACGACACATCTTGTAAATGGGATAAAATAATTCTTCTTTCTCTATCTTATAAATTAAATAGGATTAGAAGAAGTATTAATTAAGTAATTAATAATTACCTTGTTCTTGATATTGTTGAGCTGGATGACTGAGAATTTGATTTGGAGATCATAGTAATTGTTCATGGCTTGCTCCACTACTCTCCTCAACACTTTGTTTTCCTCTTTCATACGATCCATCTCCATTTTTAACATTCTTAGCTCCTGCAAAATTATTTCATTATATTCATCCTTTATAAAAGTGCACAATTAAACATGTACACTATAGCAATAATAAAAATAATAATTCATTCCTCCAAATTAACAAGAACTAACTAGATATGCAGCATGAGAAAATGATAAATCAAAGGGAGAATAATCATCATTATCTATGGCTTGGTTTGTTGACATGGAGGAATTCAGAAAATGATTAATTTGCAACAAAGATTTCTGCGTTTGCTATATATTGAGTGATTTCTATTTCTGTCGGTAATTCATGTTTTTACTGAAATTCTAGCTACACACACACACCAGCTGGTCTATCGTTAATTCACCGTTTTATTTTATTGTAGCGCGTGTTCATGAATAATAATGAAACTGTAAACATATCGCTAATTATACGTACTTATTTTGTGAATATATTGTAGATCTAAATCAAATCAATGAAAATCTGTACAAATTAAAGAGCTAAGATAATTTTGAGAGATAATAAAACTTTTGATCCTCAAGTTTGCTTCAATTATGATTTAGTCCCTGAGTTTTAATAATTATCAGTGAAGTTCTTAAAATTTCATAACTATATACAATCAATTTTTATGATTTGAAGAGAAAACAATGACAGAAGGAAATCACAATTCATAAGAACTGATTGTGTATGGTTATGAAACTCTAAATTAGTTTGATTAATAAAGATGAAATTTAGGGACCAAATCGATGGCAAAAATAAATTTAAGAGATAGAATTTTGTGATCCCTAATTTTGAAAGTATAATTGTACACGTACCTTAGTGGGAGCTAAGTTTTCATGGATAGAAATTTCTTCTTCTTCTTCATCTTCTATTTCACCTTCTGTGATCTGTTCATCAGCAGCTTCTTCTTCCGTATCATCCTCCTCCTCCTTCTGATCATCATCAACGATATTAATTCTCTCTCTCCCCCCTTCTTCTTCAATCTCTTTTTGTTTAGCATTTAGATCAATAATTCCCATCTCTGCAACAGCAAGTTCTTCTGCTTTCTCTCTTCTCATTAATCTGTGTTCTAATCCTTGATCTGATCTCTCTCTCTTGATATAAATACTACTTTTGAGGCACCAAAGTCAATCTCAAATTAAAAAAAAAAAAAGGACGTATATATTCTTGGTACACAAAATAAAGCTGGGAGACGCATCTAAACTTTGACTTTACTTCCCCATTCTTAATTAACCTCCTCTGAACTATATTTAATCAATTAACTAGTCTGTATATATATATACGCACACGAAGTTTCAATCTTCAACAAATATTATTATATCTAGGGCATGCATGTGGGCACACATACTATATATCTCATTTCAATTCAAAATAATAGCCCCTAGGTTTATTAACTGATGATGATTTCCTGTTATAATATAACTAGATCACCTTTTGTGATCTTGCTGTCTAGTTAGTCTAACAAAAATGTTTTGATTATTGATTATTAAACTAGAGGCTAGTTAACCTATACATTCATACATACATACATACATACATACATATATATATATAAAAATATAATAACCCTCTAAAATTTTCCTTGTTTGTATATAGCTTTGTGACTTTTAAAACTTATTAAAAAAAACCCCTAAAATTTTTAGATTTATACAGATAACTCATCTATACTCCCTTGGACTACAATTAGGACATATTTTAGAAGTCATGTTTGGTTAAAAAATATAGGGCATTTGATAGTTTTTATAATTGTTTTTCTATTTATGTATATCTCTACTTTTTTTATTACTCTTTTTTTTAAATGATGCATTTAAATTATTAAAGCACTTATATAGAATATTTAATAAAGGCATAATTAAAAAGATGTAAAATTTTCAAAAAGATTAAAGTTTCAACTAACTCATTTTAGAACCGTAAAGTAATTATAAATACCCTATATTATAATTCAGAGGTAGTACATGTATCTTTAATTTGCTTGTAATTTCACTAAAATAATATACCATAATAGAATTTAATTTAAGGGATTATATGCTTATATAATTTAAAGTTTGAAGGGGTTATTTGTAAAATATATATATATATATATATATAGTTTAAGTGTTCAGCAGGGCATATTTGATCAATAGCGCATATGATGCTGTACTTATGAAATAACGGAATAATTAGCGGCAATATTGTGTTATCTACATAAACTTAAAAGGATACAGGATGATTCTTTGTCAAGTTTTAAAGGTCAAGGGTTTATTTGCACATAAATCAAAATTTAGGAACGTTTTGTGTAATTTAACCTAAACTAAATTATATATATGTCTTTAAATTTTTGTTAGAAGCAAATTGTCAACGTGATTTTTTTTTTCATTCATAAAGTTTGATAATTATCGATCTTATTTAGAGAGATCACAATCCTTTTGTTTGCAACTTATATTCAAGTTTAATGGAGGTTATTTCAGGCAAAAATTTTTAAAATTAGATTATGCCAACAATAAATTTTATTTGGTAAGATATTTACTTATATTTTGAAGATAATTATGGCAAGTTTTGTATAACTTTAACAAAATAGAGATTAGGGAATGCAATTTACTCCAAATACAAAGCAACTAGACTCTAAAATAATTAAAAAGTGAATCACAAAAGTACTACTCCAACTGTTTGACATTATTATTATTATTAATTTATTTAATAATTTGCAAAAACGTATGCTATTTGATCCGTTAATTAAGCCGTCTTCGCGCTTATACAATAATGCCACTACTATTATTATAACATAATTTTTCATTTGATAATTAACATTAGGGTATGGACAACTTAGGAGCTTGCAATTAATCCTCATTAATCCTTGCAAGAGTGAACTTTTCATATCACACGTGTAGCCTCTTTGAAAATAATAAATAACTTAATTACATTTTTCCCAAAAAAGTTGTTATTCTAAACTTTTTTGTAGTTTTTGATAGCTACTTTTCTAAACATATCTTTAAGTGGTGGTTAGTAAAAGCAGTACTACAAGAGAGAGCTTGGCTAAGCTTTCTATTTTCATTTCCTTTTTTAATCATTTCTTGCTTATTTTTATGTATTTGTTTTTAACGTAAGGTAAATTTTCATAAGATTTGAAAAGGTTAAACAAACATAAATAACATTTATAATCACTTGTTCACTTACCCATATAATAGATAATATCATCAATATATCTATCAAAATTATAGAAAGCCGCATCTGCAAGTTGGATTTGGATTTTTGAACTAAGTACACTCACTCAAAGAAAATGTTAATTAGAGCTGTTAGATTTAATCAATACTTAAAAATTATTAAAATACAACATTTTTATGCAAAAATTCAAAACAATCCTCACAATTAAAATATTCCTTATATATATTGTCATATCAAAAAATTTGAAATTTGATAATTTTTGAATATTATATAATAATATCTCTGACAACTATTTGATTAAATTAAATGATTGTTAGCATGCCACGTAAGATGCTCATTGACTAAATATTCATCAAATCTAAATAAGTAAAATCCAAATAGATTATGATAACGTAACTTATCTTTGTACTTTACATAAATTCGTGGAGTTTAATTTTTCAGTTAATTACAAAATGAAATATAAATATCTTCTTTAATATTTTGATCATAAAATTTACTTTTTTAAAGCATTTGACAAATATAATAGATATATTGATAAAAATATTTATCAAAATTTTGAACATTTACTCTTAACTTTTTTCTACACTTAATTTTATGAAACTTACACAAGCATGCATTCAAGCATACGTCTAGCTAGCTAGGAGAACTTTGTGTATGCACTTAATTATATTCAATAAAGGTGAATATTTGATATAATTAAAATCTTAACATATTGAATGAAACACGTACGCATATTCATATCGCATGCATGTGTTTATATGTGTGTGTGTGTGTGTGTAAGAATTTGTTTTGATCTGTTTATTTAACATTGACATTTTAACTTTACACGGCAGATCATGAGAGGCGTGTATCATTCGATCGATGATGATTATATGCTTGACATAATCAAACTCTCTCTCTCTCTCTCTCTCTCTCTATATATATATATATATATATTAACCATGGAATATGAGCTTCACACAAAATCTCACATAACGACCTGGATAAATTATTAAATTTTATTATTCATGGGGATCAGATCTTGAATTTGTCAACTCCTATGTCCGTTCATTTATATTATTATTTTCTTATCATCCCGAGACTAATTATTAATTTAATCTTGTAGTACACTTTATCTGTCTTTTTAGGAAAAAAAATAATGCGCTTCATTGTTAGTATAACTAAAATTTTCAACAAGAATTTATTATATTTTTCTTAAATTTTTCATGACAAATAGATAGTATCATTAAATTAGTTATATGAGAAAAATATACATCAATTATAAGGACATTTTAATACAAAATTTCAATTTCTGACATGATTTTTTGAATTAACTAACTTTTTTTAACTGTATTAATTTATTAAAATTTATTTATATTTAAAAACAGAGAAAGTTCGTACTATTGTCCTCCTCATTATTATAAGACATTTTTTTGCAAATTAGATGAGTGTATTTTTTTAAAAAAAAAACTTGATTACACCTTAAAAACATTAAATGTCTCATATTTTTTAAGATTCGTGATACATTAAAAAAAGCGTTTGCAAGAAAATAAAGCAAAATAATGAGATATTTTTATTTAATAGATTTCTTAATCTATAGTAAGTGCATATTTTGAAATCTATAGTAAAAAGGAGTGCAATAAACATTAGTTTAATTTTCAAATTAATTATATTCTTTAAAATCGATCAATGAATAGATAAAGATATACTATATTTAGCGAATAAAATGATGACACCATTTTAAAATAAAATTAAAATATACTATTTATAGTTGAGTGAAAAAAATGATAGATAGACCAAGGTCCACACTAATGCTATAATTTAATT